ACATCGAAGCCACGGTGGAGGAGGGAAGTAAATTACGCATCAAATTGGCCAACTTCACTTAGCGAGGTGCCTTTGAGGAGCACGCACAGCCTCTCGCCTCTACTATGCGTCCGTGTAACTATAACAATAGCAACGACTAGGAAAAGGCGACATATGCAGTAAATTAAATGAGGTCACGGCCCTGAGTACCATGGAATCGCGGATGGAGGCTCCACATTTGCAAAATCTTATATAAACGAAAAATAATTGCCCTCATATACGTCTAATAACCTAAATCCCAAAAAATTCGGAGGCGCCCACTTTCAAAGGACATCATATAGTAGTAACCGTTGCGAAGACACATCTCTTCAGATCTGCATATGCATTTTAGGTAGTTGAATGACAGGTTTTATCGAAGAGTGAGATGACATCGTGGGCTGTGTTCTACATCTTATTTGTGTATAAACGAGGCGTTTCCTGAAGTCTTGACCACCGACAGGAGGGTCGGCAGCTATCGCCTGGCGGCCGGTTAACAATTGAATGTGAGCTTCGACACAGACTTACACTTTGGTTTCGTCGCTGAGAACGGGGCATTCTTGCTTGTCGATGTGAACGTGGATGCTGCCTTCATGGTGGGACATAATACAATCTTGGACTTCTTTGCACACGTGGGTGGTGGTCGTTCTGCAGAACACAGTCTACTCTTGGAACTCGACTTTTCTTTGCTTACACTGCGAATTTTGAGCTGTCTCTCCATCCACTTTTCTATGTGCTGAGCCAACTTTGGATCAATTTTCTTTGAGAGAAGGTAGATTAAATCCACGATGTCCGCTTCAGTGATTTCGGGCAGGTCTTGTTGTATCACCATTTTCTCCGCCTTTTTGATGGCTCGACTGCACCATTTGACTGTGGGAGGTGAGTTTACTTACCTTTTATTGCTGTTTCTGCTGCATCCGATTTGTTCTCGTGACGCTGTCAGTTTCTAGCACCTACAACTTGAACTTATGCTTCATTTCTGGAGAAGCACGTGTCTTCCGCCCTTTCGCCACCATCTGCGTGACCCTCCGAGCGTTGTTCAAGTTTCGCTTCTTTCACAAATTTTTAATATTTGCTTAGACGTCTACGTGCTTGCCAGGAGTCTGCGAGCACTAAAGGGCTCCAAAATACCTCGAATAACCGGAACTTCTTGTTATGACTGACTAAGATTTCCACCTTTAAGGCAGCCGCTACCCACCTCGAGCAGAAGGCGGACATTCTTAGAAAAATTTGGGATCAAAAACTCCTGCAGTTAACTGTTTATGCTGGCGCTAATCTACCTTCAGTTCTCAACGCCCTATTAACTTCGTAACAAGAGACGAATACAACGCATCGCCGTGAAGTTCTGTTCACTAACTGCCTCCGTCAACAGCCACAACCACAACTCTTAGGCTCTTTGGACATGAGCCTAAACCTTGCCAGTTATTTGCGCTTTGATGTGATGATTTACTAAAATAGGCTAAATCTTTAATTGACTTACCTCGCTCTAACAAAAGCACCAAATCATCGTTTTGATAAATGGCCTCAGCGTGTACCACAAAAGCGATCTCATAAACCGGACATTTCCCTACGAGGCTCTTAACGCATCACACAGCATTTACGCAAGTTAGAATTTCGACCTGATCCTTTGACCCTTAAAGCCATCTTGCAGGGTCCTTGCATTACATAAGTGCTTTGAAAATGTTTATCTCCTTACTCTGAAGTAATGAATAAAGTAGAGCTCTTAATTGGCACCGCACCGTTTCTTTAGGATCCAGGTTCGACTTGGAATTCGGCGTGGAATTCCGTGAAAGTTTTGCATGTTCATAACTGAGTTGTCACCTGCTTTAAAGCAAGTTATAACAAAGATGAAGGGTTTAAGTGACAGAGTTTGTTGACAGATGCACACAAGGATGGCACAATTGGTTTCTGTAGCACTGATGGCAGCGGAATAGAAGAGAGAGGCGATCTAAATTAGTCTGGGGAGAGATTAGAGTTCACCTCCCTCAAGTGTGAACCAATCAGAAAGAGGCGCGCGTCAGTGAGACGCTTTAGAGATTTCAGAGAACGGCAGTCAAGTGAAAATCATGGAAACTCTGTTAGGAGAGTTTGGAGGCAACTTTGATCATATCGTCTTAGCTCCTTCTGATGTAGTGAGCGGTGCTTTGTACAAACCCTACCTCCCGTGTTTCAGCAGCCTTGTGGACTGTACACTGCTTCAATCTTGACGCCTTTTAAAGGCATTGTTGAGAAGGCTGCATTTAAAGCTTGATGTCACTCATTCTGCTTGCGTAGGTAGTTTATTGTGTCAGGCGCCCTACGCTCATCTTAATGGCTAAACTGCGTTTTTATACGACCATCACTTTGAGCGGCCTGAGGAGGTTGAAATGCGCAACACAGACGTGAGTTTTACTACGAAGGCAGCCTCTGTGCCATCGCCTTGAAAGCCTCAAGAGTGAAATTTACCACGTCAGCAGCTGAAGTGTATGTCATGCGAGGTCATGCCAACTCCACAATGTGATCCTTTGAAACTAACCTTTAAAGAATTATGCATTCACTTTACCCATTTCCAATTCTGCCGGCTAACGAAGGTACCCAAGTGTTTTTTGGTTAGACCTCAACGCAGTGAGTCGTCATAACTTTTAAAGACACAGAGTACGGGTGTGTTCCACCACGTACTTCTGAATGCAATATTCCATCTCGAAATTGTTTAGTGCAATACGTTGTCTGGACAATGCTTGAAAGCTTGTAGAAGGGAAACAGCCAAAACTGTTCAATCAGTCATCAGCCTGGTGTGGTGGCATGAGAGCTCAACATACAAACTGCGAAAAGTATTGCGAAAGTAGTGAGGCAATCTTCACCGCATGCCCCGTGCCTCTCCAAGCGATGCCAATCACTCTACCCTAGCACCGAATGGTCGCACAAACTAATCGGTCGAAGGTGAAGATTTACAAAGTAGGTTTTACCGCCACTGTCAGGATATTTTGGATTTGACATGAGGTCTGATCGTATCCTCCGGGCATCTAGGCATTTTAACTATCCCCTACCGCCGCTTAGAGCCTCTTAATGACAAGGAATGCTTCGGCTCCTCAACGATGAAGATTCGTCGAAAGAGCCGTAATTAATTATGCCTTTCCTACCCCATGCTGATTCACATCGACCACCTTTCAGAGATAATCGAAGGCGTATTCAGAGACATCGTGATTGTGATTATTAATGCGATACAGAAAGGCACAGATAAAGTTGTAGCACTATCAGCTGGATCTTAAGGTGATATCGCCTTCAGCCAATTAACAAGCGAATTGAAAAGGTCAACCAAGTTAGAGCTTTCGCAGAACATCAACTAAGGGTAGATGATGGGCCGGTGACTCAGTGCTGTGAATCTTAGTAGTGAGCCACTACTGTTTTGTCGCCTACTACTAGCTAATATATGAGAAAAAAAGCCAAAAAAAGGCATGAAAAAGCACGACCTCAACGCGTATTATCGTTTCACCTCTTGGTCTTATTAGCCGTTAGCCTTTAATGGACCGCATAATTTCTCCTACATAATGCAAACATGATGCAACGTGTTAAATTTGCACTTTATGCACTGCAGCATTTCGAGACTTTCTTGAAGGAAAAGGAAGGCATGATGCTTAGGAATCGGTGCTGTTGGCATGCCTCGGAGGCAGGTCTACTTAGGGAAAGCAAAATGGCCACCTGAGTTACCGTAACCGAAATCGGCAGAGACAGAGCACCACATATGAAGCCGCAGTTAAACAGTTACATATCTCACAATTTACTTGCATTCACTATTTGTTTTGTTTACAACCCAGAGTTCTGAGACCATCTCCATGATCATTAAAACCTCGTGAACGTTCAAGTGCTGATTTCCCAACGCCATACAAAGTCATCGCACGCAACAAGGTTTTGAAACAGAAACTTATTTTATCCTGCATTAAGAAGGGAGAAAATACCAAGACTATGTAGAATTACAAAAAGTGAAGAACGTGAGAACACATTTCAGGGTCGAAAAACCCCAGTAAGGTACTTAAATCAAATTTACTACTAATGGGTTGTGAGTAAATGTTTTAGCAGGATGATTGAACTGCCCAACTAGCAAACGGAGAAAACTGTTCAAAACAACTACTTTGATCTTTAAACTCAATGACGCAGGACAATGACTCGAAAATATGAGGAAAGCTTCAGGAAGGAACCTGGAGGATGGGCAGAGGAGATAGCCCCAGCCTTGGATGTCTTCGAAGGCGCCGCTAGCATGGAAATAAATTACAACGAGGTTCCAAGAGAATTCTGTTTCCTCAGCAAGGTCTAAGCATCAAGTTTCGAAGGCAAGCACCTTTGGGTTTCAAGGGCTGCTCAGTCATGTTTTGAGAGGAGATGTCGAAGAAAGATGTACGCGATTTTTTTCAGCGCTGATGCAATCAGCGTTAAAGTTTAGAACGATTGCACAAGACTGACAGCTTTCTCCAAATTAAAAAAAGTTAAGAGCCTGATCCATACTAAGTTACTTCATTCTAGCCGCGCAAACTTTTACGAAGTATAAGACTACTCACTCATCTCAATAGACAAAGTACCACTTAGCACCAATTACCAAATGATGCGCATGCAAATATCGAAGCACTCCAGCCATCCTGAGACTTCTAAATCAAAGTCTTGGTTCTTACGTTGCAGGAAAGTATGTAGTTAGCGAATAATTTAAATGAGTCGAAACTACCAAACGTGATTCAAAAGCACTGACCAAACACGGAAACAGATCCCACTCAAGGCGGACTATGGTTCCAGCCTATAATCGGAATTTGGTGATGAGAAGAGCCAGGCTCAATCAAGGTCGCATTTAAGAAGGGAACGATGAAGAACGATTGACAATTTTTGGAGCGGTTGGATCGGTTCCAAAATACTACTAAAAATTAAGCCACCAAAATTGAGAAACAGGGGTAAAATAAATATGTTAGTCACGCATCATTACAATCGGAAAGCTTTAGAAGAATCACCGGTCATTTCAAACATTACCGCTTTCGTCGCTTAGCCGGAATCATACAGTTCACTTCAACTTCCTCTAGAGGCATCCGCGACACATTCTGGTAAACTGCCTCATCCAACAATGCCTCCTTGTCCATGGTACATCCCGATTCCACCCAGATCATTCGGAGGCCTCGCAAAACCAGCCGCAGTTGACGCCCCTTAACGCCCCACTTCTCGGTCACTGCGGTGCCGTTAAGAGGAAAGCGCGGTGCTTGCCAAGCTAGCCAGGCATTAAGGTCTTCAGAGGTACAAAGGTAACATACTGCTTCAGTAAAGATGGGTTTCAATCGAGCTTGATCGAGGGAGAGGAGATATTCACGTCGCAAGCGTTCAGTGACGCTGCCATCAGCTGCCAGAGATTGTCTCCATTCGACAAGGAAGTAAAGAATACTCTGCTCCAGGTTAGAAGGACGAATCCTCCTGACCAGTGTCTCCACCTGATATAAAAGAGTAAGAAAGGTTAGAGGAATTTCTCAATTTCCTGTGATTTCCTACAGATGAATGAAGTCACTGGATCGAGTATTTGCTTTGATGGGAGATCCACATTTTGGGGCATTTTGGACTTGAGTGGCAATAGCAACAAGGTCTTTCCAAAATTCTAATGTCGACATCGTGTAGTTATGATGTCTTTTCCAATCAAGTGAAGTACGATCAGTGGTGCCCATGGTAACAAAGATGGCTATTACCTTATGGTCCGTAGGCATGATAGGCGCTTCGGATGATGTTTAGTAACAAATAGTTCCCAACGCATAGTGCTCTTTCGCATATTTAGCTCCGCCTTTACATAATATGACACTCAACACCGCGCTACTGCCATCCAAGTGAAGTGAAATACAACTTCCGACGAGTCCTTATGTAAACCAAAGTTCAAGTCCCAATGTCTGCGATAAAATGCACTGATTATTGCCAGACTTCAGTTAGCGTTAAGCTGAACCACTTCATTTCGAGTCGGTATATGACTTACTTTTGCTTCGGAATTGGTCTACAAAGGGGCTTCACTTGAAATAGATGGTAGGCTATGTTTAAAAGCCAAATAAGGAAGAAAACTTGAATGTTGGAAACCATTTAGACAACGAACATAGTGCATATCGAACGGCCTATTGGTGCTTCGATGTGACTTCATGCAAAGAATCTAACTAAGAAGCATCAAAACTAAAACGTCTCAGATTGGAAAGGATGAAGAAAAAGTGATCACAGTAAACACGTGCTTACCTCATCGATAGAATTTAAGGCAGCGGCGACACAAGTGGCGGGATTTGCGTGTCGATGGAGAATACCACCGACATAAATCCTTTCCACCTCTGCCATATTTGGCTTCGCTGGAAGGCCACAAGCCTTCGTGACCCCAGTTTCGGCCATATAACGAAGCAAAGACGGTGCTGCTGGATAGCCAAAAATCAGCCTTAGTTCCATCCATATCCTTTCGCCAGCAATTTTTTCTAAGCCACTGGTATTATCAGCGATAGCCTGAAGGAAAAAATAAGACAGAACTTTCACAGTTAGAGACCATGTTTAGAAAAACGCCTTGCCTTCAATGTGTCCTCATCGTGGGAGTCGGGATTTGTAGCAAGACGTGCATGGAAGCGAAAGTAGCGAAGGATGCGAAGGTAGTCCTCCCGAATTCGATCTGCAGGTTTACCAACGAACCGAATACGCCTGTCCTTTAGATCCTCGTATCCATTATAGAAGTCATAGAGTTTTCCATGAACAGAATAGTGCTCTCCATCACCAGCCGTATCTGTCTCCAAATCACCAAAGCTGACATCGATGAACATGGAATTGACAGTCAAATCTCTTCTGCTGGCGTCTAACTGCCATTCCTTGGTAAAAGATACATCCGCATGACGTCCATCTTGATTTGAATCGATTCTAAGAGTCGTTACCTCGTAATTCACCTAGGACATAAGCAAATTAAATTCGGACCAGTCAATGCAGAAATGACAGGAACTGAGACATACCGTATCATTGATTCGAACGGTGACTGTCCCATGGGACTCACCATTACGATTAAGGATTCTTAATTCCTCCTTTGTGAACATGTCGATCATCTGTGCAGGTGTTGCCGTGGTTGCTAAGTCAATATCCTTCGGTTCCATTTTCATAAGAACATCTCGGACAGCACCTCCGGCGACACGGATTTCATAGCCAAACTTGCGGAAAAGGCCGTTTATGAAAACGAATTCAGGAGTGTGAAAGGCTTTAACATGAGATAGATCGATGACTTTGTCCTTTCCAATAAACACAGTTTCGTTATGGCAAGAAGACATTTTTAAAGATTGGACAGTCTTACTGAGAATTTTACAACTTGAATTCGACAGTATAGAAAGATAGGGAGGCAAAAAGCTAAAACATAGTCCTCTGAGCACTCCTGGAAACATCCATATGGCGTCACCAACACCAGCAACAGAAAGAAGAGTAGGCACGCAAACAAGGCGGGTCAGCCGAAGATAAGAGTAAACACTAACTTCTTAATACAAGCAAAAATCAATCCGAATATTAAGTACGAAGCTTCGATAGATGTTCAAAAAAATAAAATAGTTGGTGATGTGAAAACCATCACTGAAGCAAAATATATGGTTTTGCTGCAATAATTATGTGGATCGGCAGGGTGGTAAGCACAAGGCCTGGAAGCTCTGCTTTACTGGACAATTTAAAACAGTGCAATAGCAGTCTTCTATGTATAGGTTTAATCTGAGTTTGCTACTCGAACTGAGAAGTTTCTAATGCTACTGTCAGTCTAGTTTTTAAGTTGGTAAAAACTTCAAAAAGTTACAGTTATGCGGCTCATATTATTAAGGCACGCTCAGAATAACGTTTTAAAAGCTTACTTTTAAAACATAATTTAAAAACAGTTTCAGCGTTTTTAAGTATATGAATTTTTGTACATCGTCATTTACCCATCATCTTAGTTTTAATAGATCGTAGACCTTAGCTATTTTTCAACTTTCCAGTTATTTGTATCAAGTGGGTCAATGAAGTGCGTCTCTAGTTATGGTGCTTTCGTCGGCCTGCGCTTATTCATGGAACAGGCCTTTGTCCACTGTGCTATATTTCTGTGTTACTTTGAGCATGTCATGCTCTGAGGTTCTAACTATATCAGTTTTTAGCATGTTAATAGTCGGTATAAACAAATTTAATGTAAATAAACTTTTTAAACACATTGTTCGAATATTTTCTTCCGTCTGATTCCTAACGCGACCATTCTTCTGTTACTGGGTTTCCTGCCCGGAACGCACCTTTATGTGTCTTGTGTATCAGCTGATGCACACAATTTCGACATCGATTCATTTTAGACGAACCCTATTATATTTTAAGTTATCTACGTCCCCATATGGGAGCGTAGTTATGGTGAACTAAAGGCTTCTCATCTTTAGTGGCGATTTAGTCCATTTTCGATGTTTGGCTCCCTTAAGGCTGCTTGGGAAACTTGCTACTAATTTTGCCTTACACTGCCCTTGAGTCGCAAATGTTGTAAACATTCGCGGATTCTCCACAAAGTTGCGTGATTTGCTCCATAGAAATGCAATAGTGGACAATGACGACTGAGGACTTATCGGTGTGGAATAGTTTTATACAATCTCTTGATGTTGATCCGGACAAAGCAAAGAATATTGAACAGCTACCGGAGGATCAAAAAAGGCAACTTATTGAGTCTTATGTAAGTTCGCTTGTCCTTATTTAGGCTCTTGACTAGGCGGTCAAAACCTCAAAGCACTCCGCTTATCATTATGTAACACTGATCAAGGGTCTACGAAGTTGTCGTGGTACTCTTACCAAAGTAAGTGTTTAAGCTCTGCTTTTGTGACCTGTTTTCCATCTAGTCCAGGAAAAATACTCTCCAGGCAGCACGCGAGGTCTTGAACTCCACAGAGATTTCCCTTCGCACTAACAACGTCTCGTACGTTAACCGGTTTCTGGCGGCCTAATAGCCTTTCCTTAGGTGGGTCTATGAATTTCTTGACAAGGGAGGACTTCAAGCTCTACAGGAGTACATGTCCAAGACCGTCCGATATATGCTCAGGTATTATTCACGTTCCTCACCGTTTCCCCTTCTTTGTCATCGTTCACTGTCTTCTACCCCATTCAAAAAAGACACCTACAAAAATACGCCGCCACAGTTTCATCGTCCTCTTCAGCTTCTCTGTAAGTGTGCATGGGTCTGATTTCAGCTAACTCGCGGGCGCTTTCATTTTACACTAAACTTTGATTGGCCAATCCATCCATCCAGCTGGCCCACGACGAAGGCTTAATCTCTCATGACTAACACATTTGACCTATTTTTTTATTCTTAGCAATGCTGTTCTACCGCCGTGTATCTGCAGACGTCGAAACTGCACGCACAGCACCTTTGGATTGGATGAGGAAAGAAGCATAGTGGACTGTCAAATCGCGGACTGCGATGAAGGGGCTGCGTCGTCGTGGCTATTTTGCCATCGACCAGGGCACAGGAAACATAGTAGTGGTGATAGAAGTGGTAGTCTAGACAATCGTCATCGTTCGACAGGAAAGGATTCCTCCTCCGCATCATCAGCTTCCGTTTATGAAAGCGTTCATCTTGGCGTAAAGTGCTACCGTGCGTTGCTCAACAATCAAGTACGTTAACATCAATTAGGCGACAAATAAGAGGGGTTGTACTTGCCATTTCATTTTTTGCTTTATTAACTTCAGCGAGGGTGTACAATGATCTTCGAACAGCCGGAGAGCATCAACACAATCGCGCTGTGTCTGCTCCATCCCAGTTTCCAGTGAGTGATAATGAACGGCTAATGTTACTAAGTTGGTATTACAGTCTTGGAGGCCCTTTTTTTCGGTTTAAAAACGGGAAAGGCTCTTCGTGACACCGAATTTGGACCTATATGCGTACGCGTGTAGGTGCACGCATTTGTGCGTCTTTGTGTGTGAATCATTTAGTCCCCTGACTAAGAACAAGGCAACTATTCGGACCGATGCAACTATGTTGAAGACCTGCGGCTTAGTAGTGGCGTCCCTCCCACACTGTCTCCTTGCCCTTTGAAACTTTCCATCTGCACGACTGCGGATGAATGGGCATTTGAGGAAGAGTAGGAGCTGACTCACCGTGTTGCAGGCAATTATGAACGACTTACTGGCGCTCTCACCTAGTCAATAAGAATAAGCAAGCATGGTTACAGTGGGTGTTCCTTTGATTCTATCATAGATTTGCAGGCGTTAGTGATAACGTTTGACGTTTTGCGTCCTTCTTTCGAATTGCTTACAAATAATTGGGCTACGGTGGCCGATGATTGCAGTGGCGCTAACTACATGGCCTTTGAAGGTCTCTTTAAACAAGGGTGTTTCTTTTAAGAATGATGGATGTTTAACGTGTCGATAGCATTGCAATGTGCGAGGCAATGCAAATCTTCCTTGAGAAATACAGGAAATTCTACCGCTTCTGCCGCTGTTAGTATTGATAACAAAAAGTTTTTTACAAGCTTGCATTTCAAAAAGTTCCTTCGCGTCATCCCCGGCAAATCCCACATGTTTTGAAAGACCGTCAGTTTTTCTTCTGTGGGTGTTTGTACGTTATTGATCTTTTCCATTTTCATGAATTATCTTATCTGTCGAACAAATCTTTGAAGCATAATTTCCTTTCATGAAATAACAAAAGTAGTATCAATTTGAGGCACCTCCCTATTTGAAAATCCATGCTCAAGGTTCTTTGAATGATCAAAATCAGTAAGAGTAGGTTATGCGAATTCCGGAAGTTGTCTGAATATCCTTGAAACATCGTAGTACTGTGTAGCCATGCTTTGTTCATATTTCTGCCTTTTAATTTCTTCACCCAACTAAAGACCTCTTGCCATCTCAAAACATAAACTTAGCCCAACGCTAAACAGACCAGAATATGCGTCTTTACACGATTGTGCTTACTTAGAACTCTACTTTTTGTATCACAATGGTTTCACCCTCTTTACTTCACTAAAATACATCACAGTTGAGTTGTGCTTAGAGGCACTGAATGGGTTCTACGCTTAATGAATATGCTTAGTGAGGATATTTTCATTCCCAAAAGAATCCATTTTATTTAGTAGTCTGTTCCGCTGCCGGGATGTCATGAATTAGCTAAATTTGTACGTTGCAGTTCGAAGCCTCATCCAACGGTATCAGTTTTGGATATCTTTTACAGAACCAAAACTCTGGTTTTGGAGCTCCTTGCTGCAGTGTGCCTGATAGTTGGGGGGCATGACCGAGTGATCGCTGCCTTTGATGAGGTATGCCGCGAGCTGGGCGAGAGTCGACGATTTGAGACACTGGTCTACTTCTTCCGCAATCACGAACGCCTTCCTCCCGACGATTACAGCATTGACTTCATGGTGAGCATCATTGAATAAACTTTTGACTTGATGTGTTACCCTTAATTAGCCGTTTTACTAGATTGGTGTACGAATTCATTGGAATGCGTGTTGATTTTTTTGACATCAAGGTTAGTGTTCTGAGCGTGATTGCGAGAGGCGTCTGTGAATGGCTAAACCGGACTTTTAAACCTTATGCGGGCCTTAAAAGTTTGAAAAAAAACCCTTTTTTCCAAGGTTTATGTATACACCGAATCAGTCGATCTTTCGACTGAGCGTCAAAAGGATTACAGGGGTTGTTCCCGCAATTTGGAAGTGGAGCCACTACATTTGGGTCTGTCAATGAAATGCTTGGTTGGGCATCCTTGAAATTCTTACATCATTCAAATGTCTAACTGCAATTCTGTGCTCATTATTGCTCTGTGTCGTAGCAATTGATCCTGTACAAGCAGCAGAGTTTTCTCCCGTTTTACATCATATTTCAAGTGTAACTTTATCGGCAGCCCTTTATGTATTAGGTCTATTTTGGTTCCTGTTCTCCTGATTTCCAGTCTCCAGACTGATTTGTAGTGCATCTAATGACAATTGCGAGCAGTTGCTTGACACACTTGGTACTGTTACGAACTGTTGTGGATGGTACCATCACAGTACTCACCCTTTTCAACGTTCGCCGTGCAGTTAAAGGTCCCATTTTTGACCTGAAAGCCTCTTATATTGCAATCTTAACAAGTTAGCTATCAAAGGATTTAAAAACGGTTGTTCATTAACTGTTCGTGGTTAAGAGTAAAGAAATAAACGTAATTGGCAAACAACCCAATACAATACATTGCAATACATGCAATACATTGACTGAGGGCAACGCTTCATTAATTTTGGTTTTATCAATATCTTTTACGACAATTTCTATGTACCACTATTAACAAAACTGCCCTCTCATGCTCCAAAATTGTTTTTCTTTTTTGATGTTTAGGTGTCTTGTATGCAATTCATCAATATCGTTGTCCATTCCACTGAGGACATCGCTTTTCGTGTCTTCCTTCAGCAGGAGTTCACCAATCATCACCTAGACGAATATCTTCAGGTAAGCAACCATTTCCTATTTTTTTTCATACCCTTCAGTTAGGTGGGTGATTGGTGCAATTACACTGCTTGCCTATTCATCTGCTCACTGCACCATCGGTCTATCCATAAGGCTCAAATCTGAGTGGGAGCAGGTTTCGTTTTCATGGATGGGAGGGGAAAGATCACCGCCTTGGGTACCCATTGGGGTCAAGTAATGGCAATTCGTCATTTTGCAGCTACCCTCTCTACACATGAGGTGAAAACATGCATTGGCTTTATCATGTTAATTAGGAACTGGCAAGGTGTATTTTTATGGATCTTGACTGTTGGTCAACGTCGATGCTTTAGCACTCACGTTGAACGTCACTTTCTGCAATGCTTTACGCTGTTACAGGGTTATGACTTTTCTTTGGGGCTCTTTTTTACTCAAACAAGCGATATGCTGCAATTTTATTAAAGGCCTTACGATAAATGGCACTTTTGTGAGCTTATTTAAAATCAAACAGGGAATGTGATGTTTTCAGGCCTTGTTATCCCAAGAACTTAAGGGTGTATGCGATAGGGTTTCATCTAAATGGAAATCGAGTCGTTTACCGGACGTGCTAGAATAATTGCTTTCAAAAGAGGAGAGTACTTCAAGGTAGTGATTCTCTGCCTGCCTTTAATTCTGTTTACTTCGAACGTGAAGTTTACAAGAGTTAGGCTCAGCGGTTAGCATGATATATGAATGTTTGGGGCCGGAGGTGGATTTTTTAACCTAACTTGATGTCGGACATGGATGAAAATGGACAAGCTTTGTTGAAAGAATGTACTCCTTGGCCAATCATGTAGTCCCAGTTCATGGTGTTTGGTAATCTAACCGTGAAGGAAATAATTTTGAGCGCTGCAACAATGCCGAAGTGGGTTGTTCAACTTACGTTTCTCAACTTTATTTTGTGTCGGCCGGGGTTTTTGCTTTTTGAGGAACTTTTACAGGCAAATTAACGGATTGAGGACTTTTCTGACCGGGCAGTGTATGAATCTGTACTTCCAAGTTGTTTTGTGGCTTTTTTTGACACCAACACTTGATTTGAGATACCATAGTTGTTCTGATCTCATTACAAAGGGTCAGGTGTATTACACTGAAATAGTCCTCTTTCATATCAAGTATAAGACACATTAAGAAACCTTGAATCGGTAAGAATTTAAGTCCAACAAAGGTTACTACCTCTGTGTTTTACTACCTGTCGTTGATTCTACGATAGCATGGGAAACCAGTGAGAACTTTGCACCCAGAGGAATTCGAGCTGTTCAGACAGGCGGAGCTTAGTCAAATAGGTCCTCGGCCAAAAGCTGGGTGATTCAGTCTTGAAATGAATCATCACGATGGTTTTAGTCTATCTGAGGGGTCTGCATATCCTAAATAGTAAGCTTGTTTACGTTAAGGTCCGACTTTGGGGATTATTTGAGGTGTAAGTCTGAGCTGGATCAAAAATGCTCGTAATTACGCTTTCATTTAAATTCATTCGAATTTTTGTGTCAGCGGATCTATGGCAAGGTGGGAGACCGGTTGGGTCGCCAGTTGGAAGCCTATCTGGACAACCACGTGGATGTGGCGATGTTGTTGGAAGACTCTCAAGCAAAGGAGGCGTTGCAGACGGAGGTGGAGATGCTGGATGCCGATCTTCTCGCTGTGCAAGGCCAACTGGCTACCACCCAGGCAGAATACGCTGCTCGTACCCAGGCCTTCGAAGAGAAGATTAGCTCTCTTCAGTCCCAGCTAACGACGCAGGAGGTAAGGTGCTAGATTCATTGCAAATCTTGTTTGCTTGCTGTCACTTAGAGTCGTTGTGAAGGGAGGGTGGGGGCAAGTTGGCATCGAACTTTAGAGCAATCAGTTTTCCGGAAGCTGTCGAAATTGCATATTCTGATTACTTAGTCACAGAAGTTACTGCTTTATTACTAAATTGTGTGTTCACGAAGACTTACTTTATTTGGCAAAAGGAAACTATCACCAATCCGGACTAATTAGCTGTCTTGTAATTGCCGACAGAAATCTACTGGTCACCAAAATTAAGACAAAGCTAAATTTTACGCTGTAAAGCAAGGTGTCTTTTTCAATGGGAAGTCACGGTAGGTATGGGTTGATGGTCTACTGTTTGATTTTGAAAGCTTAGAAGGAGGGAGTCGTTCCAAAATTCGTGAAGTTTGTAAACTGTGGCCCTCTTTAAAGCAGAGGTAGAGGAGCCAGAGCTGATATTTTTTGTCAAGGCGAAATGCTGAAAATTGCACTTTCAGTCGGCCTAAAGGGATTTAAGGTCTTGTTTCATTCATTTCCTCCATTATAACTGCTCTTCAGTCGCCGATTGATCAGCAGTAGGTAAGCTAACAGTTACTGCATCAAGCTGCTGTTTCAGACGCAGTGTCTGGTCATTCACTTTTCAATGGCACTTAAATTTATTTCTTTTTCTTTTGGTTAACTTCGCGCTCATTATTTCCTACTTCACTCAGTGCCAGTTGTTCTAGGGAAGCGGTAATGGAAAGCCGAATTCTATTATAACTAGCAAAATAAGGCAATATTTTTGTGACAAGCACATTTAAGGTAACTTCTAGTTTATTTGTCTGAAGAAATATGTCATTGGCTTTGCTGAGCTTTGCCTAGCTTGGTAATGGCACATTTTAATATTTGCTCCAAAGTTCTAGGCTGCATTAGTGGCCGATGAAAATGGCCTCTTTGCATGGAATAATGTGACGTTAATTGCGTATCAACTTGCATTTCTCTAGCGCTTCAACAATTCTTTAACCACATTCCACCTCTCTAACATTGTGTATCTCAAATGTCACCAAATAAGATGGCGGTCTTTTTTTCTGAAATGCTGCATTCTGATAACCATTTAGTATGTAACTGGAGGTTATTCGTCCAGGCTCCTTCGAAATCATCCTACTGATTGCCTTTGACGATTTGAATAAGCATGCCTTTAGACCTTGAACTTACTGATTGGTATTTGAGGTTATGAGGCCACCGGAAAATGGGCCATACATCTATTCTCTCTCTAATCGGAACTATTTTAATCATGTACGAACAAATAGTCTGTCAAAAGTGGCATTCAGAGTTCATGCTACCTGCGTTACCATGGCATCTAAGTCACACTTGGAGGTCACTTTAGGTATACAAGCCGGTGAGCAAAAGGGTCTGACATGGGTCGCGTATCAGCCTGTGGTACTGGATCGAGATGGCTTCCTGTAAATTTTTATGCTATCATCCTGTTATGTGTCGTTCTCGAGAACAGCTCTACATACCTTATTTAGTGAAAGCGATTGTCGGTTCCAATCTCTTATCAGAATCCTAATATTTGAAATGCAGTAGTGCATTTCCCATGTCTCATGACCATTTTAGGCCTTATCGTAGTTGACGCGTGCCATCCATGAATCTTTCAAGTGAGATTAACCTTTATTCCATCTAAGACTCTCCTATCCAACAACCAAGATGAGGTGAAGACACTGCGCTCAAGACTGGCTGATCAAAACTCTACCGCCTCGTCGATGGAGAAGAAGTTGCAGCAGCAAATAGTTGAACTACAGGATATGTTGAGAGCAGAACGTGAGCGTGCGAAAAACGCCCCCATCGCCTTATCTCCCCCACCAACTGCTGCTGCGCCACCGCCTCCACCACCTCCTCCCCCACCACCCCCTCCGCCAGGGGGAATACCACCGCCTCCGCCGCCCCCGCCTCCCTTTGGCGCGCCACCTCTACTTGGAACGGTCCCTCCTGGTTCTCAAGGTGCGTGACTCCTCAAATGCCGCCTATTTCATTGAATCGCCCGACTATGTGTTTATTACAAACTTATCTTAAAGGGATGGAATTGACATTTTTGAAATAAGACCTTCAATGTTAGTAATATCAGGCAAATGCAGCTCCGTTTAAAATATTATCAAACCTTTTGGTCCAAACGTACTGCAATCTAATCATAATATAAGCGCAACGGATAAACGGGAAGGCTAAGCATGGTAAGGGCTGAGTTTTTCTTGAATACATTTAAACATTCGTACGTGATTACTGGTTGGACAGAGGCACGAATGGTTTGGCTAGACTTCCTCGGGCCTGGTGCAGGCTGCGCTAAAAATTGAAAAGCAGCTTTATTTTGCTTTAGAAAAGGACAGCTGTTTTCTCCCTCTTTTGCATCAAATATTTATTAAAAGTGGTTATTAATTACATGCAACTGCCTGAACAATTTTCACTCTTATTTGTAGCCAGCAGTTAGGGCAAATTTAGCTTCAGAAGCTATGAGAATACTTAAAACTGATCAATTTTGGTGCTCGGATTATTAATTTAGTTCTCCGACGAAATCATTGCAATCGTAGGCAACGAAAGCATAGCTGATGCGGTTGGAACGGTAAAGCCAAAACTGCGCTACTTCATACTAGTCGAGCTACATCCTGAAGAGTCAAACATTGTAAAAGCTGAGCTTTAGCTTTTATGCCGTTTCTTCAGGCCAATGTAATTCAACAAATGTATAGAGGCTACAACTTTTGCTGGCAGTGTTTTCGAGACGTTTTCTTCCATGTCAGATGGTTGTGCATTTGACCACAGAGACCCGTTGACTCAACAGCATTCAGAGTATCTCGATCAAAGTACACCTTAACTACAACCATCTACACCTTCTGTGATTTCTTTGGGCACATTCTCATTTTAATAGAGAAGGAGGGTATTTCGTTTCATAAGTGTTGTCGATGGCAGACTGCCCAAAAATTTGGTCTTAGTCCCACCGATTAGGATTTGTAGGTTCATGGGTTTTTGCTAGTGAATTGGTTCATAAGCGGCTTTCTTCCCAACAAATAGTCATTGCGGATCAGATAAGGACGTTTTATCAGCCGAATCTTAACCACTCGATCCTACTTCCCATCAGTCCTGCAGTAAACGCTTTTCAACCCATCTGCTTCCTGGTATGTTTGAATTATGCAAATGCTGGACGCGTGTCACAATGTGACAACGGAAAACAGCAATTTTAATCATTTATGCCTATCATTTTTTTAAAACTCAATACTTAATGTTTTTTGTGCGGCTTTTTTAGCAATTTTGTTTCACCATGAGGATCATGTGAAACAGTTGCTTTTGGAGTTTCAAAAATGAATGCAGCAGTGCTTAGGCGAAACAGTAGTTTCAAACATCATCACAAAAAGTCATTGTGAATTTGTCAGAAATATGATTGTTTAGACCATCGTGTGTCCAGTCTAATCGTGCCACTTGTCTGGGATATGCCTTCATCTATGTTGTTGCATAACTTGCGGAGTCAGACCCATCATTGGTGTGAAGGCACAGACTGATCTTGGCTCATGAGACCTTCATACCATCCGATTCGCATTGGTTTTTTTTTGTTTTTTTTTTCTCATTTACTTAGCCTTTTTGGTGCTATTGTTATTGGTAGCTCTGAGATGCGCTTCTAAAGTTGCATCGACGTTACTGTGCCTCTGCAATTTCAACTGCCTACATACTGTACCTTCCTTTTACGATGGTGCAGTACGACAGTCCAGCTGGCAAAATTATTTATGCTTTTTTTGGCGTGCGTCTACCAACATCACTGTTATAACTGAGTTTCCCTCAAATGACCTACACAGGTCTCACACAGGGAGCTGTTTTTTATGGACTGAAAATAAGGCAAACATCGATGTTGCACAAAAATGGACAAATGAATCCTTTAACCTCTGAAACCTGTATGGATAAAACTTCCAACAACTCTACTTACTTTCACAGAATGATGGATAGTCTGAAGGCCATTTTTTTTTCAGGCAGGACTCATGAGAAATCCTCCAAATAAGTGTCAACTCCACTAGAACTGAGCACGTTCATTTTGGCCCCGTGCACCTTCTCATTCGCGCTATTAATAGTGCATAAGTCATCCCATCACTCTGCCGTCTGTTAAAAGTTTCTCACTCAGTTGAGATGTTGGTAACACATATTTGCAAACAACTGCTTCTTGAGTGATGGGCTTGGTTAGTGCATTGAGCTTAAATCCCTTCTTTGAGCAGTTGCACAGCGCTGACTGGTCCTGTTAGCAGATTGTGATGTGGAAATTTTTGTGCTTGAGTAGGATCCGTTTAGGTGGGCAGCTGCGGATACATCCTCACCTATAGTTTGTGTATGATACCTTTCTGTCAGCAAGTCAACTTGATTGGTTTCTCGGTTTTCCATTTTTTTACTTAATAGCCATTCAACTGCTTGAAAATGTTCTATTTAAGTTGAAATTACTGTGGATGTGGTAATTTTTCCTTCTTGACCATTGTACTTTTAAAAATGTGAACAGTCCGATCTTACTGCTTTTCTTTGAATATACCCAAAAGTGCTTTAGCATCGTCTCCGAGTTGGTCGCGAAACGTTTTGAAACATCACTTTCAAAACCGTGATGTTCACCTATTTGGATGCTACTACTCTGTTAGGATGATTGAACGGCACTCCTGGTTTTTCGCGTTTGCGTCCATGCTGAAAGAATGAACTCGAAGGTAGTGGTAGCTAACATCGTTATTTAATTGACTGTTGCTGCGATCTCTTATAGTATCCTGGGAATTGTAGCCTCAATATCATTTAAGGTCTTGAAGTCTTCAACAAATTTTGCTGGGATGCGACGATTCGGTGCCATCTGTGTTACCAGCAAAGCGGATGTAGGTTATTTTAATCAAAATGGCTTGGGTGGCATTAGTCGAAGGACATTGGAATGTGTAATGTATGCACAAATTGTTTCAACTAGTGTTTATCTTTAAGCGTTGGCGTCAACTCAGGCCTCGACAAAGTGGGTGAATCACAGTACTTATCCTGTAGCTCTCCAAACTTTACATTTATCCCCTTAAACATGACTGGACGGTTTATTTTGGCAGCCAAAGTAACACCTCTGCACGTTAGAGAGAAGGCGCTGCTCCAATTAGTCGAATCCTCTGGATGTCTGAACTATAAATGACACAAATTTTATCGTAAAGATAGCGGTAGTGCATTTGTGCTGACTAATCATAGGGAGAGAGGACATTTGTCACAGCCTTGTGAACCTTAATTGTTGTCAAACTAATCAGACTCCCAACTAGCGTGTGCACAGCCGCCTTGATAAAGTTGGTCAACTGCCAACATTTTAAAAGATAGTCATAAGAAGCGCATCGAAATTTGCGATTGTAGCCTCCCAGATCTAATGCTACGTGGGAGATTTGAACCTCCTCTTTTTGAGCTGACTCCTGAACCATTTACCAGTGTTTCTCAAACAACTTATTGCTAGCACTAAGAATACTAGGCATTTTCAACCTTCCTTTGGTGATACTTTAGCGATATTTTGACATTCTTGCTTTATGGCACACCGATTTCCACAACTCTCTGACCATTTTCTCCTAAGCGATTAGGACTTTTTGCCAGACTTGATGAGTACACCGGAGGATTTAAAGGGCAAGTAATCAAGTCCTCTGTTGCCTTTTGTGTTGCTGTGGGCCTTAAATTGGTGAAACTTGGGAGCCATTTGACTTAGAAATGCGTGAGCATTTGCCTACGTAAACGAGCTATAGTGTCGAATGTAGCGTTCTACCAACTTTTGGACTGTCGAGGCCCCACTTTCTCCATTTGCTGTAATTTCGTTAGCCAAACCACAATTCCTGGAAATCTGTCGTTTGATATTTTGCCTCTGGGGAAGACGCGTTTAATTTTTCGTAATTACTATTACTAGACCTATTAACATTGCCTCCTCCAACAAAGAATTCATCTTCATTATTTTTACCTAGTTTTTGCTTAGCGCGTCGTTCCGTGCTTGTAGTCTGCGTGGTGATGGCTGTTTCTATGACACAGGCAGTGTAACCACGTGTTTGAATGACTCAAGTGGGAAATGGGGCCAAGTTTTGCAGGTCCACACTTTTTTATTCATAGTTAAAAACTTTACCTTTTGATCACTTTTCTTTCGTAAATCAGCTGTATTTATCAATGGGTCAATCTTTACTTGAAGCATTACTCTGCATGGCATTTCGTTCAGAAAATATCCCACGAACCTTTTGAACTCATGACGTTTTTATTTGGTCATTTGCTTGAATTAGTGTCATGGAACCGAGGGTGCTATAGAGGCCTTTTTGGATGAGTTTGCTGTTGAATATTTACCATAGATAGCGGCTCTTGATTGTTGATTATGCAATTGTGTTTTTGATAGCCTTAACTTTCATAAGCTACGTGAAATACATGGTTCGAGATTGCGATGGTGAGTGGTAGTGATCTGAAGGCATGGGCGTGAATTAGTGAATGGGTTTCTCTTACTTGTGAGTGAGGCGAGGTGGCGTCTCCTCCCTTTGCTGCTGTGGTGGTCTTGTTCGTCCCTCCTAGCTGTGCCTAAAAGAAGTGTAAGGTCAGGTACATTTTTTGACAAAGCTGTTATCGATTTCCAAAGTTCCACTTTTATTTTATCACTAAATTTCTTTCATTGTTTTAGAGGGGAAAATGCTTCATGCTCTGCATGGAAACTGTGCCAAAGTCCCTTTATGCTCCGTTTTATTTCTAGTCCAAATTTTACTTTGTTTGAATTTCTTGTTTTTATAAGGTCCTAGCACCGTTTTCGGGTTTAATTTTTGTAGTCAGGCAAATGATGCAATGTGGCCGACTTGTTGTTTTACGGTATTTCATTCTCACGATACCAGTTCTGAAAAGGAGCTGCATAAGGTATCAGACCTCTTCCCGAGGTCGTGTACAGTGGTGACCCAAAATCTATAAGACAGGGAATTTTACGCTGTAGTTAATTGCGAATAATGCTGCATACAATCCTCCAGTCCAGCGAAATCTCCGTTGAAGGGATTGGATTGTTGAATAACCAGGTAGAATCTGTCATAGCACGAATTTAGCTTTTGAATTTCAGGCGAATAATAAACTGCCTTGATGCTGCTGCTGTCGAATCTAGTCATATCACAAAACTGTACTGTTGCGTCACCTCTATTATGACGGTTTTTGTCGTTGCACTTTAACTCGTCTTCTTCTTTGATCAGGTCGTAAGGAAGCTGCTGGGCGGCTTAAACGGAAATCAGTCGACCGAATCAAGACGCAGGTTGCCTGTGAGGTTACACTTTTGATTGAGTAGAGTAGAGAAGTGCCTTTGGCTTACTTGTTGGAGGAGTGCTTATCGCTTCACCTGATGACAATTCTGCTTATTGTCTCGTCCTTTCAGCTGTGCCAATCCGCCAACCGTATCAAACACGTTACAAGTTGCCAGTGCTAAACTGGAGCGTGTTACGCAACCAACAGCTGCGTAACACTATCTTCGTGGGCATGAACGATGAGAAGGTGATTGAGTCACTGGATATGGAGCGTTTTGAGGAACTTTTTCGACTCTCTCCCAAATCTATCGGCTCTAAGTGTGCTGGTACTGTCGGCGAGGGCAAGGCGGGTCTGGGAGAGGACACCACGACGGTGGATGGCGACACCCGCACCTTAACGGTTTCCAAGAAGGTAGCCAAGAAGCGTCTCATGGACTCCAATCGACAGAGGTGAGTTTTGACGAGCTTTTTTTACCTCGAAAGGCCACAATTCACCGATCACGATTTGTTTAGTTTTTCTTTAAATGAAATCGTTTAAGCTCCACAGATTGCGAAGGACCGCCTCATTAATGCGAATTGAAATGAAGTGAGTTTTTTTTGGTTTATAAAGGCCCACGATCTCACTGTAAACGAAATGTTAAAATTTTATTATACCGTTTCGCCTACTAACAAGACCGCTTGGAGTTCTAGCTATTTAGATATGAATTTGTAAGTCCTTTTCATACGCTATCTTCATTGTCTCAATTTAATTAGAGTACTTTCGTCCTCAAATGTGTTCCGTTACCTATTGGTACCCGGTTTAAGTTTTTTCTTGTTACAAAGTCAACTGTTTGGTGGCATTTCATTACTATCAAATTAACATCCTTTTGGGCAAGTCTGTTGTAGCAACTGGTCGACTTCCTCAGTGGTTGATATGTTTGAAGTCTAAGCAAGGGATGCATTAATAGATTATAGAAAGTGTAGGGCTCAGTTTACCGTATCGCAACTTTTGCAATACTCACTTATTCACACAAAAAAGTGGTGTGCGCCCGGTGGCTTTGGATACACGGGTGGAGGTCTGCGTTACCGTTTCAATGGCTGAACCGCAGGAGACCGAAGGTAGCTGTCGCAGTGGCACGCTCTTAAGTAAAGCAGACATTTTATTTCTCACCATAGCTTTTTGATGTCCCAATTACTGTTTGCAGTGTACGAACTGTAGTAGGACATTTTTATAACGATTCATTTACTTCGCGATTTGGAAGTAACTCATAACAGGTTTTAATTTTTGTGAAATATGTTTGCACTGAACTTTCTCGTGTTATGCTCAATATGCACAAACCTTCCCAATCCTCTTCGACCTAGTTCAACAACTGCAGTTAGCGGGTTTGAGTTACGGTATCGACCAATTCATGCATCATTTACATGCTGCTTCCTGAATGCTCATTACCAAAACTTGGCTTTTTATTGCTTTCTTTATTCAAACCACCAATTTCAGGTCATGATTCATATCAATCTTCGCTGTATCCTTCATCCGTCTGATCTCAATGCAGTTAGTTGATTGAACACCTTGTCCTGCTTGTGTGCGTCTCGCCAGGGGACACAAATCTGTTGAACTATGCTGGATATGGGAGGGCACCGTCCAAAGTTCACTTTCGAAACACTAGCGCAGCGAATGACTTATCGAATTCCACACCTCAGTTTCTTTTTGGTTTAGCCACCGAAATTAACCACTAAACTGGTATCCTAGCCACAGTTTTTCAGAGTTGAGCCTGCATCAACGCTCACATGCAAGCATGTGTTTTGCATAAACAACCGTTGTTTATTCTAAGTCCGGGTTCACGGATCAGATGCTGGGCTTCACTAATGCCTTGAGTACTTTGTGGAAAAGGTAGTTCAACGAATGTTCAAAGTCTTATGATTCTAAATTTCAGTACTTTCATCCTCCACTATTCACACTTCGGCATATCTTCGTCCGTCTCTGAAATCTTGACATAAATTGCCCACCACAAGCTGACATCCTTTTCTAACAAGTGGAGATCGAGTTCTTCTTGGAGCCTACTCTAAGTTAGTGTTAGAGGACTTTGCTTTGTGTGATGCTTTTCGAGGTAGATAGCTAAGGAAAGTTACTTTTGAGGGGATGATTATGGCCTCTCTTGTTCTTCCAGCGGCTAATATTGGTGAAATAGTAAGTGGATTGGCATCGATCTTGGCGCACAATTGCCTAACTAATCTTGCGCGCCTTTTTCTTATGGAATTTATTTGAACATCATTTACCGTTACTTTAGATGCCTAAGCTGCTGTCTCTGCTCCATAATTACACAGCATTCATCCTACGTAAAAGTTAAGGCGAAATCACAGGTCAAAGTATGTTCTACTCCTTCGAGTTCTCCAGTTTGAAGAAGTACCTCATATGAGGCATCGATACCTTAAAATTAGACTGTTAGCTCGGAAGGTATCCATAAATCATTTACAAAACTGCATCTACTCGTGCCTTTTAGGGTGCTAGGAGGTCGTACGCTAAAAACCGTTTTTAGAAAGTGTGTTCTGTGCATCTTAAGGGTGAAGAAAGGCAGTTTCACAAATTTTTAATTGTATAGATTTTTGAAAACTTGGCTACTTTGGATTCTATTTTTTAGAAAAAACCACAGTCTGCTATTGCAAGTGAAAGGAGAGCCTTTGCGTTCCAATGGTGATTTTAACCGAATGCAATTTCATAAGCTCTTATTGTTGAGTTGAGGTTTTAAACCTCTTAAAACCTTCCCGGCGGCGGATTCCGTTCTACTTCGTACAGTATTTTTGTTGATTTGGATGGATCTTTGCGTCCTTTTTGATCCTTTCAGCCGCGATAGGTCATGTTTAGTGAATGCAATTGTAACAAAACGCCAACTCTGAATATCTTTGTCGATGATTCCGATCTCAAAAGTGAGGCGATCATTGAAATTTCCAGTTTTATCTTAACCAACGCAAACATGGCTTGCAGATATTCCGCATGTTAGAAATTTTCACTTGTTTGCGTCTTTGACATTTAATGTAGACGCTTCAACAAAGGAATTTAAATTTAAGGACGGTGGGTTGAATCATCCTCCAAATTGGACACTTGGAGAAACCGAATGCTTTGGAGGTTAATGAACTGCTACTTTGATGATTAAACATGGTCATAAGCGGGTCTATGAAATAATAAAGTCACTAACATTAATGAAAATTTAACGCAAGTGAACACTTCATGGCTGATAGTCTGGTGACTTCATGGTGTTTTCCTGGGAAAAAATTTGTTAGTGCAACTCTTAACTTTTATTTATGGTTTCGGTGTGAATGCTTGTCAACTTTTGGAGGCTTTTTACCCATTATTGCTTGGTTTATTATGCAACTAATTTCCTCCAAAGCCGGACTCACTCTCTCCATCCAAATATTGCTATTTTTATACAGGACCGCACTTAACTCGCATCACAAAACGTACACTCATATCTAACCTTGCTGTTGAACTATTGGTGAAAGTGCATACGAAAGCTGAGATGCGGATTCGCAAAATGGAATGCTACATCGCTAATCCTCACTTTGTTCATTTACAATTTTGATTATCTGGAAATACAATCTTGATCGGGATTTGTTTTGATCCCACAGGTGTATGGGCATCCTACTGCGCTATCTAGAGTCCGAGAAGTTCACACTGACCCGGCTGTGGGAGAGTATCACGAATCTGGACGTGAGTCTGGATGTTGCAGATCGCATTCTGCACCAGCTACCCACTCCCGATGAGGTACGGATGTACCTCAACTACGAGTTCACCGAGTGCCTCCCTGTAGACCAGCTCGCTGACGAGGACCGTCTCCTCCTCCATCTCTGCAAAGTAAATCGTCTGGGCCCCAAACTCGAGGTTGTAGTCTTTATGAATACCTTCGATTCCACTCTTGCTTCTCTCCTCCCGGTAAGCAGATGTCTCATCTAACGGATACATTAACTTGAAATTAAGTCTCGTATTTCTTTATTTTCTCACACTTTGGCCTTTGTCTTCATAACTTCTATCATCCATCTTTACGAAATTTTTTGGAAATTAGGAACTTATTAAAATTAGTTGGCTGCGTAAATGACGCGCAAAATGGATGCGACTAATAGGACAGTTCTGCCTTGCTAGATGAAAAATTGGTGAGGTAACCGCGTTGAACGGTCAATTCCTTTGAACATACTTTGCAAAGAAACTGGGATTCGAAGTTGTTAGCGTATACTTGGGTTTCTCCCTTCATTCGTTCTTCGTTTCACCAATTATTTGGTGTACCTGATCTCTTAGTTACTGCAGTTATTTATTGTTGGATTTCATCAGGAGTCGATAATTCCAAGTCCTTCTTTCCTCATAAAATGCAGGCAACATTTTGGGCATCTTGCCCTTTGATTGACAGATTGCTCTTTATTTGGAGTAGATCTTATTGCATCCTTTCAACTTCCTTCTTAACTCACATCAGAACTCTGTACTTAATCTCTTCATTTTTTTGCCTTTCATTTTTTTCAAAATTTTTAAAGAATTGATTCGTGTCGAGTGAATGTGGAAGAAGGGATGCATTTCGTACGCAACAAAGTAAGGCGGTCAAGTCTGTAACTGTTCACGCGCGCAGCTGCATGTAAGACTTATTTTTGGATGTTTTGCTGTCATCTTCATTTTGTCGATAAGGTCAGTTTTTGGGCGTCAAACGTTCATGCTCTTATGCAGCTACGAAGAAGTTGTCATGGGAAGGTTTACAAATTTTATCTGCTTTGCCGTTAATCTGCGAGCACCTCAGTAGAATGTGAGTGTTCCCATTTTACTGTCTGAGTTATATGCGGATTGTGTTTTGTTCGGACAACGACTTGAAGTCCCGATTTCCCCAGAACATCAAATATGTTAATAGGGTACAAGAGAGGATGTGATTGTTCTGGTAAAGCAATTTCGTCTCCCCACATTGTTGTTTCTAGTAGTCTACACGGCTTTCCAATTTTTCTATGAACATCCTCACATCAAAAGTGATACGAGAAAGTTCTAATTGTCGATGGTCAGAACAATGAACGTATGTAGGTTATGGACCAATGTGTGGTAGCTCCAGGGGGTATATAAAAGCAAAATCAACTTATTGCGCTGACATTAGGCCATGAAGTTCTGAACCATAACCATGGGGAAAAAGAGTTCAGATCTCCCAAACCAGGGCTGCATTTGGGGATCGAAGGTTCCTGAAAATTGGTTGGCATATGCAAAGGTGTGGTCGTGCAGATGTGCTCATTTTTGAGCCTGAAACATGTATCATTTACACTCGCATGCATTCAACCTACTCCTGAGGGATTGGTCATGTGTAGTCGACTGGCTTTTTTGAATACTCTTTCCGATTCAACCTAATGCACTCCATCTTTCTATGTCTTGCTTCCATTGCTTTGTACGCTATGTTTGGTGGATCACAACTTTGTTCGCGATATATAATTTGCTTCGCGAAAGCCAAACAGCGACTGAGACTGAGGTGTATTCTTTTGCCTACCTGATACACACTAATGCAACTCGGTGTCCCGAACAACTTACTCGTTGTGAAGGGCGTCAGAGTTTTAAAAGACAATGCGGTGTGCTACAAATGAGGAAGAGTGCTGACTCATGTCCATTTCATTGGTGGTGTTCTCATGTCTCCTGTTACTAAACCGTCTACTAACGACATTGAATGTGAAGCAAAAACAGATGTTTAAACCTAAAACTTCGGTTTTCAAATGCAAAGCTTTCCGTAAAATTTAAAGTTCCAGTAAGGGTACTCTTGTTGTAAAAGGATTCTACGTAGCGAATTGCGGCCTTGATATTTTCAAGGTGGGAATTGTTTGGAGTTATCTTCCGCAGCTATTTTTAATGGAAGACTATTTCCATAATTCCTATTGAATGTTGACTCCATATTTCCACTGATGAGGTCTAGATTTGTTGAGTCCCTAAAAATCACTAAAGGGGTTCGTCTTTGGCAGTCTTGGGGGTCGGTTACCTACCTCAGTTCTATTAAATGTTGTCGAATTTTAGACAAAAAAAAGTTGAGTAACATATTTCAGCGTTCCTTCATAGCTCGATGGCTGTTAAATTGCATTTTGCTTTGCTGACTGGAAGGTGAACAAACTGGTTTATTGCAATTTGTTTTGGAGTTTTATAGGTATGTGCTGGAGAGTCTAGTTTGACACGTTCTCATAATTTGGCTATACGGTGACTGATTTTACTTAGTTTATCAGTCGTGTGTTCCGTCCTGTTTCGAAAAGCTCATTGTTTACACGATGCCTTGCACAACACCTTTTCATCCTCCTTAACAATCAAACGAAGTTGGACCGTTATGCGAACAAATCAATTACGTGTGTTTTGTCCATGTTTGCTCAAACGCTTGCCAACAGTAGGTAAGTTTTTTTTGCTTCCTCATCTTTGGTCACTAGTATTTTAGATGGCCTTTTGCTGGTTAATTGCTTAGAGCATAAGACTTAAGGAAATCATTTGTTTTGTATCAAAGGATATTTTGCTGGTAAATTGCCCAGCTTTTATGGCAAAACCTATGCAATACTGTTTACTAGAGGAGGCCATTCAAAACCTTAGAGCAAGTCAAGAGTGGGAAATGGTGAGCTGCTGTATTCATTTATCATGATCGGTGTCGCAAGTCGTTGTCTCTCAACATGGCAGTTTGAGTTCATTTGGATGTGCTTCACCTCACTTGCACTTCGTTGACCCCAAAACAAGCCGTGGGTGGTGTTCACTACCAGAACAACGGTAGCAAGACGGTGGTTATGCCTGCCATGTTACTGAAGTTAGCACGTTCAATGAAATAAAGTGAACTGTGCTGCGCTTTTGGTTACTTGAGCCATGGATAGATCTTTAATGTAACACTGAGCCATCTTCAGGAGTCATCAGCCAGCTGCTGGGGCTAAGGAATGAATTCAAAGGCGTCGGATTGGCGGTAGATTTGTCGATTTCAAGGAGGTGGTGGCATTCGTGTCGCAACCTTGACTGAACCGTAATTTCAGCTACTTTTCCAATCCCATTCATAGCCTATTTTTGGTTTCTCTCTGTCCTGTTCACTAATTTTGTACAAGAATACGTAGAGGCTCCTAAGCAAGGTCTATGAACGAATTGCTTAACTTTTCAATAGTCCATAGGCGAGTCTTTGGGAATGTTTACACTTGGGAGTCATTATCCGTGATAGTGGCAAAACTGCTTTTCGGCACACTTAAGTGTGTTTTTGTACTTTCATAAGTCCACTTTTAGCTTTTGTATCCTCCTCAGCTTAATTTTGTGGCAATAATCAGTCCGTTGGCAATGATGTCGAAAATGTCCATACTGCCTTATTGTACCGTTTTTTGAGCATAAATTGATTATTGTGTCTAAACCTTTTCCATTGCAAATCACCTACTCCTCGTTTGTTTGGCCAAACCACATGAAACGTGATTCCAATCTCACATGAACTCTTCCATGTGTCCAGGCAGTGCTTAGCTACTTTACCCTCTTCTCTCTACTCTTTTGGCGCGAAATCACACGACTGACAGAACCAGAGCTGAATTTTCAACCATTACGCTACCGCGCAGTGGAAGCTGAGACCTTGCTTTGCCACGTACCAAGTTTGGAACTCTGTGACACATATTAGCGGGACAACCCGTCAGACCATTTAAGCAACTGACATTGTTTTCGCAATGAAACTCGTAATCAAGGAAAGGACTTTTTCGCCTCTACATGTCGCATGTTTGAATGCGAAAGAAGACTTTGATGACAAGCAAAACCAGAAGTGTCTTTCAAATTTGTTGTTAGTACCGATTAAATGCTTAATGCTGTAGAAAATAATGGGAACACGACTATGAGGAACTTGTAGACTAATTAACTGGGTTGAATCACTGACTCAGGGCATTGCATTACTTTTGCATCCCATTTGTAACATGGTTCAAAAATAGAAACAATGACTAAATAATCTTACTTGAACCTACTTTAAAACCCTTTCCTCTTTGCAGAAAATCTCGGCAGTCAACACAGCTTCGTTCAACCTCAAGAAGAGTGAGAAGTTCAAGCGCCTTCTGGAGTTGGTGCTAGCATTTGGAAACTACATGAACAGCTGCCGACGTGGCGTTGCTTACGGATTCCGTCTACAGAGTCTGGAACTTGTGAGTGGTTTGAGTGCTTTGCATACCAAGAGCCCAAAAACTCAATTTTTGGAGTAACACAGCAAACCAAAATCTTTGGTTGGGCCATTAGGTACTGTGTTTTTGCACTTATAGGTCACTGACGGCCCGCTGATCTGTTTGTTTGAGTGAGTCTTGAGTGAAATGGAAGGGGGACGATTAGTAAACTATTTTGGACTTTAGACAGTCCCAATACTTTGAGCAGTAATTTTTTGGCTATCCACTGGAAATATGTCAGAGGTAAGAGGCCCCAGTCTGTCTTCTCGGAAGCTAAGTGGTAAATGTAACTAGGTGTTTACTGACAAATTTACTAACTTATTGTTTGCTCAGGAATTTTGAAAAAACTAACCTTCCTCTCTCACACTTCTGCTTTTTTCATGCTTCTCCACTGACTGCTTAGCTTATCAGACCCTTGGGACTGCTTGACTAAGCTTGTTGGAATGGTGTGCTCCCCTTACTCAGCTCAGTGGCGACTCGAATCACCAAACTTCACTTTCTTTGTCCTTTAGAACATCGAGAAGAAATAATAGGCATTGAGTTCTTTCTGCGACTTCTCTATCCAACCCATTTCACTATGCGGTCGGAATTACAGCATTGGAGTTGTTCTTGAAGCTATTATGTGAGAAGGAGTATTCAACACGTAGGCTTACTTTTTGAGCTCGAGACGACACAGCAAAAGTCCCGCATCTCTCAGTTTTCGATGACAAAAGTGCCTCCATGGCGGCATTCCAGCTATAAACCGTTTAATTAAAATTTGACAATTTGTACTTGTAGCTTGTTCCCTTGTTTTTTAACAGAATGAGCCTCCTAATTACTTCTAGGCGAACTGTTCTAGATTTTGCTGATGAAAACATGAGAATCCCTCTAATTGCGTTTTGCATCCCTTCGCCACCATTCATGACAGCGAGACTAGGAAGACGTTAGCTCCCGTTATCCACAAATGCGAGCTTTAAATTTGACCAATTTTCTGCATTGGAGATAAATCACTGTAAAATGTAGCCTGGACTATAGTCTGGTTTATTTCTTTCCTCCCATTCCCACGAGTTATGCTTCTGTCTCCTACCTGGCCGATTTTATCGCCACTGAGTCACCTGCTTAGCTATTTTTAGTTGTATTTCCAAATGCTGTCTGCTTACAGGACCTACTCACGGCCTTTTTGCCCTCATAGCTACTAGACACGAAGACACCGGACAAGCAAACAACTTTGCTCCATTTTATCGTCGAAACCATCGAGGATAAGTTCCCAGACCTCGCTGATTTCTATGATGAGTTGGACGGAATCACGGCTGCTGCTAGGGGTGAGTATATTCATTTATTGTTTTCTCCAGTCATTACTTCTACCCTCATCTCTCCACTTGTTTGAGTCGATCGTTCTTCTTTTTAAATCCTAAAAATAGTTGAGCGAACTAAAAATTGGCCTCAAGACAGGGATGCGAACTGGATGGTGGTTGCCCGCCGTCAATTCTGCCTGCCAATTATTGCCTAGAGCCAAATGATCCTTACCGGATTTGTTACATCGGTCCTCCAAAGTTTATGTATTTGACTGTCCAGACTTGTTCTAAACTTGTTTTGCTTAAAGGCATTAAGTCTTCATTATATTGTAGGCGGCTGCTTCGTTAACTGTTTTGGTTCGTCCAAGCAATGACCCACTATAATACTGTCAAGGCTTCTGTGGCACTTCTGCAATGAATTTAGTCTCTTAGGTTGGATTTACTGTTCTTCAGCGATGGGTTCACCAATTCTGCATATAATTGTGCAAGTGGGTGTAGACTTAAGAGGTTACACGTCATGTCATCATGTTTACTCAGTGTAGAGGTCAAATTTTTCTCGTGGAGTCTGTCTGTAGTGGATGTGAAGCTTTTAGTTTTTCCGGCAACACCACAGGCGATGCAAAACGGCTGAATGTCCTGACAACCTTAGGTCCCCTAATTTGTGTGCTCTGTAGTTAGGTACTTTCGTATCGTACTTCTGTTGTGTGTGTTTTGTTGAATTCATCGGTTATTCGAGTAATCCAGTCGACACCATTGTAGAGTGCATCGCAGGGTGACATCGGCAACCAGTCACGTAGAACGTCTCTACAAGCACATAGAACCAGCACTGCTACTGCAAATGATAGGAGGTACTTTCCTAAAATTTGCCTTGATAAATGCGGTGCTGTAGGCAATTAGTGAAAATTAAATGAACATTTCCCAAATTTGTTTTGTATAAGTCTAGTTCTTAGTAAGTGCTTAAACTGATGGCAGGATTACACTAACTGCTTGATGTTTACAAAAGGAGTTCATAAATATGTTTGATTTTGTATTTAATATGAATTTTGGTGATCGTGTCATACCGCATAGGCGATATCACCACTATCATCTCGAGTCACTGTGGCGGGACAGGTGGAGAGCACATTGGTTGAATTTTTTCTCTTATTAACTCAAAGAAAAAACGAAACAGGCGATGCGAATAGTTGTCATCATGACGACCATCGGTTCCACGGAATGCGTTTCTTGAGAGAGGCTCATCAACTGCTGTCAGAGAAGTAAAACTGCGGGCACCAAGGCTTTCATGGAGAGAATGTGGAATTTTGGATTAAGGGGACGTTACCTTTTTAGGAAATGTAACGTTTTTTGCGCGATTAAACGTCTTTACAAATGCTCTTTGGCTGCGAATGCGTATTTTTTTTGGACCACTCTCTTATCTGAAATGGCCCAGTAAATTTGTGGGTGAAGTGGTATAGTAGTTTTGGAAATAGAAAAAGAAAACATTTTTGCCAGTCATTCAGTTCCAAAATAGTTTTTTTAACCGTGCGTAAATTTATGTTCGCTACAATCGTCGGCAAATGTCTACCTCTGACTGCCACCAATAAGTGACTTCCTTTGATGGACAACTCGAAATTCACACTTTCTAGGTTACACATTCGGGAATATTCTTCCTGGAACTAATTTCCTCGTCTTACATCACCAACTGGCATTTGTCCCCATTTTGAAAACACCAACCACCTCTTCCTTAAATCCACCCATTCTTTTGTTTCGGCGACCTCGGACTGGTCGATAAACAATAGCTTTGTCCATTCGCCTCCGTACGGCAGAGACCACCTTTTTTATGAGCAACACGAAACTGGCTGAATTTGAACTAAATTTGATTAAGCGAGCGCTTACCTGAATAAATCGGGCTTCCGCTTGTGAAATGCATTGCTCTCGTGCCTAGTGCGAGGGCCCACTTTGAACACTTTTTTCATGCGCAGAGACTATGACCATCACTAACGCTTACAAGCTTTGAGTATGTCACCTTCTTTTTTGAATCTCATTTTTGCTATGCTTACAGTTACCGTTAAGAGGCATTTCCATTGTCTGCATTTTTGTCCAATTTGCGAAGTTGCCATCCTTTTTTGGTCATTTCTAGTCTTTGGCCTTGAAACTTCTGCCTTATTTGTTCCTGTGACCTTTTACTCTGATGAGGTCGGACTATTTGTAGGGGCTGTAGCCGTCATCATTATGTTGAACAAGTGGTTACTCATTAGTCATTGTTGTAAGCGTTGACTCGTGTGAGTTCTATGGGGGATATTGAGCTCATAACTGGCATAAATTATTGCACCATCACCTCTTAACTTTCCTCGAGATGTCGTTTTCAAATGCGAGTCGGGAGTACGAATGCTACATTGGAACATGAAATGAAACCAGCAGCTGACGTGGACTGCTGTAATTTGACTCTCAATTACATTACACACAAATAGTGTATGCAATGGTGGGGACTGTGTATCAATTCCTGGTGCTGACAGTATCTATCGTGGGTATTTGAGGCGGACGTTATTTTGAGCAAAGAGGACAAAAATGGCCCATAGGTTTAATGCGGCTTTTTCTCTCCCCTTATCTTCCAGTGCCAATGGAGGCGCTAACCTCGGACGTAGCCGCAGTAGCGGCGGGCATGGCTGAGGCAGACAAAGAGCTGATTGCGGCAGGTCCGAGCGCACCACAACGCCTTGTCACATTTGTGCGCGATCAGCAACCCCGAGTGGCCGAGTTTCAGCGCAAGGCTGAGACGGCGCGAGCCATATTTGCACAGACTACTGAATGGTTTGGAGAAGCTCAGAATAAACCCAGTCCTGAGACTTTTTTCACCTGCATTGTCAAGTTTGTTCAGCAGTTCAAGGTGAGTTCAAAGCCTTCTCGTCAGCTCTACTCTTGTCCATTGATGTCATGATGAGGTTTTACCTCAAATGTGTTACCATTTTTTTCTTATAAATAGAATTAGTTCGCGAAAAACAATGTAATTTTTAAATTTAGCTGACATTTTTGCTCCTAGTGGCTTATCGACGCATCCATCCGTTTTTGCTCTATGCCACTTGCAACTGTGCTATCAGAGTAGTCAAGTCAATTGATAATTTCCTTCCGGTAAAAGCGTCTTGCATCTGCTTGTCATACGACTTGTTACAACCATTTCTCTATCTGTATTTGCAACACCAGATTCACATGAGGCAATCGTGGTTGTCTTTGAGCGGTAATTCCTTTCACAAAAGTACTTTTGAACGCCACTAAGAAACCCTCGAAGAATGCATTGCATTCACTAGTCTTGCTTTGAGTAGCCAAGTCGGTAGACTAACACGAGGAGAAACCATCAGCCCATTTGGTAAGCTCGAGGGGCAAAAATGAATTATGCAGGTGGGGTTGTGGAGATTTAAAACTTCCATGTCTTTCGTTGCACACGCGTCCGTTGAGTGCACCAAGGCGCACTACGCGCCTTCAGTTTACAAAGATGCTCTATAAAGCCTGATTTTTTAGTGCTGATGTAATGGCGTCCACTGCAGATGATTTTTTCGCAACCCCTGTTTTTTGTGTTGCAATGGCTTGGTTCCTTCGTTGCTGTTTTTTTGGTTTCGGTCATACCGAAATGTGGCATCGCTTAAAAGTACTTTTAGCAACAGTAACAAGTACGGTTTTAAAAGCCACTTTATTTTTATTTTTGAATAACGATTAGCCTGTCTATTGTCACAGAAGATCCTGTAAACCTCTTAGTGTTAAATCCCTACCAATCAATGCTTTGGGGCTCCAAGCTTCTAGATGGACTACATATTCTTGCTGGCTGTTGCTGCAGCAGTTGGTAGATAAAGCTTGTTCATTTAATCTCGTGAAACAAAACCGCTTATTACCATAGGAGACGTTCGGAACGCATTTTACTGTCGGTATTATAAACATTGTCTGTAGAATGTTACCTGTTTATGCAAATTGCTAGTAGTTCTTTTCGTCTTCGTTACTTCAACACACTTGACGCATTACGAGCACTCGGTCCGAGGCCCACGTGGAAGTAACTCAAGTAATTGAGTCAACTTTTTACCACATAATTTCTTTGATACATTTAAATTTTTACAGTCTAAAGTGGCGTTGGAATCCTGGGTACTTACTCCGCACGCCTTTTGTCAAAAACTGGCTCAACCGGATCCACCATATGCTTCAAACCGTTAATTTTTACATAATTATCTCTTAGTGGGCATCATGAAGCCACGTCGTTCCTGTCTACCTTCATTGAGACCGCCTTATTTGGTTTTGATGTACTGTCAGTGTTGCGTAACCTTCCACCTGTGCATCCCTTAAAGTGGATTCATTTTTTTGTCAAAAAAATTAACAATTGAAATTGGTATACATCTTCTAGGAGCATTTCCGATGTTGAACTTGTAGCTAAACGATCTGTCAAGCTGTTATCATTGTTTTTGCGTTTTTCCTTGGCAGAGAACTTTCGGCAGACGACTTTGCGGCTGCAAAAATAGAGATTTTGTGGGCAAATGTGTCGTTCTGTCTGCCTTGATTCCGGTCAATTTTTCCTGCCACAATTGAATTCTTGTCTGCTAGAATGCCACTCTCGAAGGCGATCTTATGTTTTATGTAAAATTATCAAAGCAACTATTTATCTTTGGTCAGTGTGTAGCTTAGTTTACTATTTCCTTGACTTTCCTTTTGTACACGACAGAATTTCATATAAGATCGGAAAGACAAAATTAAGTTCCCTGGATGTGAACAACAGGTATGTCTCGAAACGTCGTCAATCTAAATATATCTCCGTCCTCTACATACTTTGATTTCAACAACTATTTTTTTAACGTCGGCTATTGGTGCTGTGATGATTGGTGGGCGAAATCCTGCCTACTGGCAACTTACTTGAAAACCGTAATTTATTTCACTGGCCATTTAGGGTCCGCATTTTGGTTTCCTTTTTTTGTTATGAAAAACCTCACTGAATTTAAACTATGCCAGGAAGTCTGGGCTGCTCACAGGCTGCCCTGCTCAGTTTCGTTAAACTCCTCAAAATTATAAGCTGCCAGGTCCGCGTTGGTCATCGTCTGACACACGCTGAATAGTTAATGCAATAAGTGAGTGTCCAACGTTGATTTACCAACTTGTTGTGGCTATTGTTCCAAATACTTTGCTATAATTTATGGCTAAATGGAGTGCTGTGTTCGTGATAAAGCAGTTATACCCAATCCAAATAACGTTTTTGATTAACCGAGTCTCGGACACCGCCTCTTGTTGTCGCGTCAGATCAACTTAAGCACGCATAATCTTGCAACACTGCAGAAAGTTCAAGCGGAGTTGGAGAAACGCCGTAGGCTGGAAGAAGCACAGACGCTGCGGAAGCAGTCTGAGGCATCGCTCTGCAATGGAAACGCCTCATCGCAGAACGCATCCTCTGCGGCTCCCGGTGGGGCATCCTCTCGACAACGTAGGCCCAAGGATGTGAGTCTCTCTTCTTGCCAAGTGCATTGGTATAGATGTTGTCTTCTTTTCTAGTCTAGTTCGTTGTACTTCTGGTTAACTGAATCAGCAAGAAATTGCTGTCATCACACTAAAGGATTCGAATAATAGCAAAATTGGTCTCGTGAACTGAACTGTAGACAACTGGTCGAAGGTCTTGGAGGACGCGTAAGCGTTAACTGAGCAGAGAACCTGTCATTATCTCTACTGGATCCGAACTGTGTCCCTCGCCCCCAACACTTGCTTTTGATAGTTTAATTGCTGCTGACTTACATCTAAGCTAATATATATCGTTATCCTCGCTTGACACAAGCTGCCTCGTGATTACCTGTAGTTAATTTAAGAATATTTTTAAAAGAAATATTTCATTTTTAATTTAAATCTGACTTTAGTAGCCTACGGATTCACCTGACAGTTCTTGTAATACTTTCGCTGGAACAACTCTTGACGTCTTCACTGTGACTCTGCGAATCTTGACAACTGTTTATAATGCTAGGTTCAGTTTGATTTTGTCGTTGTCACAACAATCATTCTCGTTGACTCAACTGTTGTAGCAGTAGTAGTAGATTACGTGGTCAAATTTTTCTCCTCCGGGTGGGCTTGTGAGTTCTGGGTACACAGTGTCCTATGAATCCCCATTTTTTTTCTATTCATTTACAACATGCATTAGAGAGTCTAAACATGTCAGCAGGCTTTGACAAATGTCATTTTTTAAACAAAACACATTATTCGGCCTTGGGCAGTGGCACATCCACTACATCTCTACGTCCCATTCTCAACACAAGATTTTGGCATTAGGCTGGAATCTTTCTTCTCTTTCATTAATGCTCAATACTTAATTAGAAAATGAAATGAAATTTGTTTTCGAATTTCATTTACCAGAACGAGGATCCTGTGGATGTACAGGTTTGTTTGAATTGTTTTCACTTGCTCTGCAGTTTCTTTTACCACTTCTACCATTACTTGGGTTAATTATTAGCACCTTAGGGTGATCGCTGATCTTACGCTTGCTATCGCCACATCCATGAACATCTCATTTGCTTTTGTTTACTTCCTATTTCATACTCGGTTTGCATCTTTTGTTTGTCAATTTTCTTTGACGTGTGTGCGTGTGCTGAGGTTTTGCAGAGTACAACGCTTCACACACGCTGAAGCCGTTACCAGCAGTAAATCGTACCTTTCTTCCTTCCAGCGGATGCTGGCACAGGAAGCACGGCTGGCAAAGCGACGAATTCAAAACAGAACGCGACAAATCAACGGTGACGGCATGATGGACGAAATATTAGCAGGTGGGATGCCCAATTCTTCACTTTGATGCATTGGAATTTTAAACCAGACATTGGCAGATCTGGCATCATCTAACGGGGCTAAAATCAGATGAAAAGCTTGTTGAAATGAATTGAGTAGTTTTGTGGCATTCTTGTTATACATGCAGGTTTCGAGGCAGCGCAGCATTTTGTAAGACACATTACTGTCATTCTGGGATCGCATTTGCAGAGTGCCCCCTCACCAACATTTCTCTAACCCTCTTTATCATATTTTGTCCTCTCTTGGCCTCAAACAACTGCTCGGGTTTGTTTGTTGTGGTTGGTGTCCGTTGGTGGGTTTGTTGGTTTTGAACCGTTTAGAGTTGCGAAATCTGTGACCGCGGGCGCACCCATTCACCCCCTTGCCGCTTCACTTGCGTTTGATAAGCACCATAACCACTGTTATCACCAATCTTACCGACGTTAATTTTTGTTTAGTAGCACGCTTTGTGTCCCGCTCTACACAAGTCTTTTTAAAGTGTGTTCAGCGTGCAAGCGGTGTACCAGCTATTCATTTTGTATAGGCACGAATATTTTTTCGGTTAGAGTACTTTAATAAATGTTTCCTTCATTTAGTCAAAAGACAGGAATGTCTTGAATTCTACGACCAACGGAATAGGGCGACCATGTAAATAGTCAGTGACTAGGTAGATCTCGAAGTTTAATCCTTGCTTCCCTGTGCCAACCCCTCCTCCTCCTCCTCCCCTTCAAACTTTATATTGGCACATCTAGGATTGCCGACCTGAATTTAGCATTTAACTTTCCTGTACGCTTTGATTCCTTCACAGGGTGGAGCTTTTTACGCCTTTAGCCAGTCTCTTGCGGTTTTTTTGTTTTCATATTTGAAACTCAATGTCACAAACACTTGGCATAATTTTCTTACCTCTTCATTAACAGTTTATATCAGAGCCTGTTGCAAAAGTTTGGTTAAGCTTAAAGCAATAAAATGGGTACGAGGTGTTTTTCGGTCACCAGACACTGATTATCTCGGAAGCACAAATCTTACTGTTATGTTAGAATGAAAGGGTCTGGTCTGCGGGAGCAAAAGTTGCTCTGGAGTCGTGGCAGCGATTATGTCAGTCCTCAGTGGTGTTGGAAAGGGAGGAGGAAGGAGATTAGTGATATGGATGGTAGTTTACAGAGCTGCGCTTCACCGTTTTGAGCCTTCTGTGTTGCTGTCCGACATTTTCATGATGGGATTACGGTGCGAGCACTGCTTTTGAATTGGTCAGAGTTTACGCACGACTTTATTTTAAGCTGCGAATCCGATGGTTTTTTTCAAAATAAACCATAGTAATGTATTTATAGTGAGTAAAATGAGGTAATCAAAAACTTGCCTCCATAGAGAAGAGGCAGTCGGAAGTCCGACTTTGTGTCATTATTCAATAAACAAACACTAACCCACTAATAATTGGCACTTTAATAGTTTGGAGCCTTCCTAGCATTTCTCAATCAATTTGCTGCGGTTGCTCTGATTGCTCTGCGATCTAGCTCATTAATTTCCTGTTTGTTTCACAGTTTGACGGCTTTTTTATCTTTGGTCGCATTTATGGATGATTTTGTGGGTACGACTTTAGCCCTTTACACACTCCTCCCCTCTAATCCTGCTACCACACGACACCAATGGATCTGTCAGGTCCCACTAACTGCTATTGTTTGTGCTCACGTCCCGTTGCAGCCCTTGGGTCAAAACCACTGCAGGCAGAGGTCCATCCGCGGCGAAGCCACTTCAATGATCTATCGTGAGATATTTTGATATCATTCACCCATCCGACTAACCACCCACTCAATCGCGTTGACAATCTCCATTGAATTAAAGCAACCGGTTTCCTTCCCCTGTTGCTCTCGAATTTTCCTCCTCTCGTCCGTTTTCGATCTATTTTGATCGATCAGACGTCAACTTCTGCGGTCGTCTTTGTTTTTACTTTGATACTTGTGCTTCGAATTGTCTGTTCTTCACCTTCTCCCACACCACATGCCACAATTTCAATTGTGAAGACGGTTATTTTTCTTTCACTCCTTATTTCACACAGCCAATTCCGACTTTTTTCCTCGGTTCCTTTCTTACCTTCTGTTCCTCGCTCCGTTTGCCCAATGGGGGAAAGGGGCGTTGTTGTCAAACCTACCTTTTTGTTTAACTGAATTATGGAGTTTGCCTGAAGAAATTAAAAAGATCCATTATAAGTAGGCTAGTGGTTAGTAAATAAGGACAAATCTTGTATTTGGAGCAAAGAATGTATATATTATGGTCTGACGTTTGTGTACGTGTGCTTGTAACTTGTTGTGATCTTAACCGACAGAATGTCGGAGAAATGGAGTTTGCATCGTCATCCACTGTTGTTAAGTTTGGACGTCGTATCTAATGGCTCCACATTATCGCAAAGCGAATGAACAGGAGAGAACCTTCGCGAAGGGCGGGACACAAACCAAAAAGGGAACCTTACGATATAGTGTTGTGGTCAAGAGTTTTTGTAATTGTGGTAATCCTCAGTGGTATGTCAATGTGGTTGGAGGTGTGGTAAGAGAAGTGAGTGAAATAGTGGCTTCTCAAACATTGCAAGATCCCATGGCGGAGAAGTGAAAATTCTTGATTTTGTTATGGTAAATGTGTTTTGGAAGTGTTGCCTCACCGGATCGCAGAGCGCTGCATTAACTTTATTCCTTGTGCTCGCCTGCCTTTCCTCAAATAACGTGCGCAAGTAGAGAGTGGATTAGCCTCGTGATTATGGTTACGCTTCTTGATTGTAAACCATGCACAGCTCGTTCCCAGTCGAACTTCCTGGCCCCCGTCCAATCCTAATTTTCCTCATCTTGGGCGCCGGTCGCCATCCTTGCAGCCGTCTGGTTTGAGTTGATTGAGTTGTCAGGCCTGAGTGTGACCAATGCAGCACGGGTGGCGCCAGGTCAAATATTAATAAAATCGCCTATATTGTGTGGCTGATTGTTTGCCGTTTTCTGGTCTCATTTTCTAACCGTAGCAAGGCACTACCATTGAGTCTGTATAGCCGGACAGAGTATTCAAGAGGATTCAAATTAGTTTCGCTTTTTCAGATTGAATATGTCACATCACTGTTTTACCAGGGAGCCAATGCTAGGTTTTCAAGTGGTCTGAAGGATCTCATGACTTGAACTTATGAGCCTTTTTACAAATGACTTGACACAGGAAAGGTGTTCTGATGGTGAGGATTTCAAAAGCGCAGCAAGATGTTGAATATAGTGACTTCTGCCTGGCAGACCGTCGTTTGAGTCCTCAAGTGAGGGCTTCTTGCATGCACCTTTAAAAGTCACCACCACATCAGGCAATCACGGAAGTCATCAAATGAGAGCTCACATTTTGTCACGTTGGTTTATGAGTGACCAGCAAGGTGTGTACAGATGCGGAATCCCGAACCACCTGTCCACATTTAGTGGATGTGGACGGCGGAGATGCATTAAAAGTAACCTTTTAGATTGCAGCAAAACAAATGAAATAGCAGTAGTCATGCTAAAACTGTAAAAGGAAAAGGGCTGGAACATGAGTAACAAAAGCCACTGAAGACTTTTACAACAAGACTGGTAGTTTGTTTTCATTTCAACAGTGGCAGGGTAAGAAAAGGGAATGTAACAGACGGCAGCAGTCATTTATAGAACTTGCGAATTAAGAAGCCTTTGTTTTCTCAAGGTTCTGCTTTAGTTTAGATAAAGGCAAAATAAGAGTGGATAGAAATGTAAAATTGCTGCTTCAAAATCTAGCAAAAATGAAGAATAATAAGGCACTAACAATAGAAATCTTATGGGCTTAACAGAAGGGACATTAGTTGGGTTAATGGAGCGAAAGGAATGGGACATTGAATGCAATCAACGAAATGGGGTTTAAAACACGGGACAGCCGCTTCCCTCTTTGAGTAGCCTCTAGACCACACCGGCGTAGAGGTCCTCCAGTGCCAGTGCATAGGGGTAGTTGATGGGGTCGACATTGCGCTGCTTTTTGACACAAGTCCTTGGCTTGGTGAACGTTGTGGTGCCCACTTGACGTGTCAACTTATCGTTTGCAAAGGTGGTGAGTAGATTGCAGAAGAAACCCTCTGAGAACTCCACTGCTATGCATTTGGGATCGATGGCACAGGCGAATTTGCAGTTCTCCGGGCTGAATGCCAAGTTGTTCAGACTGCAAGGCAGGCATTCTGATTCACTCCTGTTTCTGTCTCAATGCACTTACATGGAGCTACATTCATTCAGTGGGTGAGGATCTTTTAACATCACTAACTTTCCGTCTGGGAACTGGGATAGCTTTTCGCCCTCGTTTCAGGAGCATTACTATCACATTCGATGACTAAATTGTGATCATTCAACCATTTCTGCGGCTATGCAATCCCCAGAAAGAGATGCAAACGGACAAACGAGCAACAGTGGTCAATAATGCGGATCACGACCCAAAAAGTAAGGGCTGATTTGCCTCAGAAGCAAAACGATGGTGCGCCGTTGCCGCTTTGTGAATCTTGCGCGGCAGCACAATCGCGGTTGTTGTCCGTTGTGGAACTAATTTTCAGTATTCTCCTTAGTTGAAGGCAAACTGAATTCAATGATGAATCATTAACCGAAAATATGAGGTCGACGAACCTTCGTTTTCGAGCTATAAGCATGATCATGATGCTTTATTTGAGGAGCAACTGGTCAAATGGATGAGGGTCGTACTTGGAGTAGACATTGCGTTGACCTGATGCCGAAAAGTAGTACTTCTCGGGACAGGGTTCAAGAGTGCTTGTCTGAACGTAGAATAATTTCGGGTTGTAGCACTGTTTGCCCACATCTGAACGCGCATCAATTATCGTCCTAGTACGTGACGGTATTCCTGTCTAAGAAACCAAAATACGTTTTGCCTACGGCTGGTGGAAAGTAAGGTTCTAATTTGCTTCTCTACCAGAGTCTAAATTTGTATTTTCTGTTTCTACAGCCCACTTTTCCACAAGTTGCAAACATTTGGGCAGAGCAAAACGAATTAGCAAACAGAAGCCTTCAGGCCTTAATGAGCCAAATATTCTACTTCTTAGTCATGGGCCCTACATAATTATTCGGATTGTCGAGTCAATTCTAACAAATGTTCGGTACCATCAAACTAATTCACTAATATTTTAGGCTAACATTTAAATGCCTTTTGCGATGTTAATGGACAGGTTTACCTGCGACCACCCTTGGGCTAAGCGCCAGTCATCACAAGGACCAACGTCTCGCTCCTCCATTGACTTGATTTCAGGCTTACACTTTGCGGTTACACGTCTGTTACTGAGATTAGCCAAACACTGAGGCGTTGTAGCCGAACCGCTAAAATTAACCCGGAAAAACAATAACCAAACATTAGCTTTTATCTACTTACATTTTCTCACAATCGCCATAGTACCTTCCTTTGAAGAAGAAAGGTATTATGCATCGACCTGCAGAACTCTCACGCACAAAGCGTGTATGAGTTTTTAAAGTCTAAAAATGAAGGAGAAAATGTCTCCTACATCACCGATTCGAATGTCATCTTGTGGAAGGACAGCAGCACAAGCACCAGTCTTCCAATCAGCAGGAGAAGGGCAATCGCAAACGCGTCTTCGAGTTCGCGTACAAGTGGCGAATTCACACGCCCCCCATTCACCCCATTCACACCATTCACCCATCTCCCGACGTGGCTCACAGGACTCCAATTGCAGGTAGGAGGAAGACCAGAACTCCTTATTGTCCATGCAAGCACGCAAGAAAGCCAGGCAAAAAACTACGAGTACCACCAAAGCTTCGGCAAAAGGCATTATTTGCGAACGCCGACCAAGACAACTGCCAGGGTGAGCACTGAAGAGTTTGAAAATCGATGGATCAATCGTTTTAGCAGTGCACGCGATCAACAAATGCAATTACGCGGTTCGACCAATTAAACTGATCAAAGGTTCTTTGTTGCCGGAGTGACGAAGTCGAATTAGTAAGGAAAATCAAGGCATAAACCGAATTTGCGAATAAACTACTTGCAGTTACGCTATCAAAAAAAGTTACTGGGATTTCTCAAGTTCAAAGTAGTAGTAGTAGTAGTAATTTTAAAGTAGTAGCTTCCGCTCCTGTTCCTATGGGTTACGGTTAAGGCAACACTGGAAGGAATGATAATTAACTACCTTTTAAGCTCTTCTAGTGAAAAGGGCTCATATTTTTGAAAATGATTCATCTACGTATTATTTTGCGCCTCAAATGAGCAAAAAATCCAATTAAGCCGATCTTAATTTTTGGATTTCATCAGGCTATCCCTATTCCTCACCGTTGCAAAACGTTTTCAGCGAATACATTGCTGGTCATTTAGAATAGCGCCGCGAGTGACAGCGCACATGGTATGCCTCGTGTTGGAAGTCCAACTCAACAGCCTAGGTTCCATCCGAGTGAAATCACTAGAGGTGACGACATTATTGGCAAAGTCACCTCTCAGCCTCGCAATCTCGGCCAATACAACCAGTCCCCAGTAGTAAAAAAATTGTTAAACTAACTATCCAACCTCTGATCGCTTTGAGACAACTAAAATTGGTTGTATCCATCGCTAATACGAGACGTAAAGAGGACTTCGGACTTCTAGATAATGCTTGGATTGGAACAATACAATACAATATGCTCTCCTCACTTCACTCCAACATCCACCACCTGATCCACCCTCCTTTCACGTTATAAATCTGGAGGAAGTATAGGTGTACTTCAAATAATCATACAATTACATACATACATGCATCAGGGGGTTTAAACATTAAATTAGAGGTAGATTGGTACTATTCTGCATCGCTGGTGTTACTAACTTTTGGCGGTGCTGAGGCGTTCGTGGAGGCGTTTAACGATTTCCCCGACGCTGGGTCCACCTTCTTTGGCGGTCTACCTCTCCGTTTTGGGGTTGCACCAGTGCTACTGCTAGCTACTGAGCTGTCAATGGGCACCACGACAACAACGGGAGAGGCGCGTTTAAGGCTGGCACGACGCCGGAGAGAGACACGTTTGGAAGGTGGAGGAGAGGGAGATCGATCGAGTGGAGGACGGACAGAGGTAGGGTCACAGGTGGGACATTCCCAATTGCCCTCAGGAATACCACGCAGCCCTACGCAGTAGGCGTGGTAGCCACGATCACAGCGGTCACAAAACATCATCTGCCCTTCGTCCCCAGTGTCCTCGCATTCAACACACTGCTTGCACTCCATGCACGACCATGCGTACCTGAAACAGTTTAAAAGATCTACGTTATGGTAACGATTTCCCGAAATTCAATCGCAATACTACCAATACCCAGGGCGCTCATAAAAAAAAACTTATTTTGAGAAACTATTGCCCTACTTTTCATGAGTAAATAGTGTCAAATGACCAGTGAATGTGCAGATTGTCAACCAGTGTGCTATAATGACTTGCCATAAATCGCAAATGAGGACTCGTGAAATTAATTTTTGTTAATACCCACCATAAATGGTGAGAACCCCTCAGCCTGTCAGTACCGTATGTTTCAGATTATCGCAACACTTTCCCACAATTCAGGAACCTCATAAAGTGGCGGTGAAAATAACGAACAGGATTCATGATCACAAATTCTACGGACCAGCTCGGCGCCGAGATGCCGAAAACTGCCGCGAAATGTGGCCGAAATTAAGGAAGAGGTAGAATAGCGGACAAAACTACACAAATTTGGTTCAAGCAATCGCTTAGGGGGATGCGAATATTCCAGTCGCTTGGGGATAAATGGGCATTGATGTAAAATTGATTTTTAGCCCCATTCCCTATGGTTGAGAGAAAAATCAGTTCGAATGTGGATTAACTGAGAAGAGACGCATAGTATGGATTAACAGGGACTGAATGAGCATCGAAAACCCAAACCGTCCTACGTGGGGTCTGTCTACCTTACGGAAGAAGCGACATGCATTTTAAGTTGCTAACTGAAGTACGGTGGTGATGACGATTGAGATCGAGAATTATTTCAGAATCCATTGGATAGAAGCGCAGTTGACCTAAAAAACGGTATGGAAGCTCAATCCTCTTGAGGAAAAGTCATTCAGTAGATAAAGAAAAGTTGCCCTCCCACCCAACGCGATAATCAGATGCGGGGCGCCAGATCCCCACTTGGGAAGGATAATACTTAGTTTCCTCTTCCCCACTTTCTTGATTTTATTTCTCTAGGTGCCTATTAGTCCCCTCCTCTTGGCATGAGACAATCACGTGAACACTTTTGAAGTAGGCAGTTGAGTGGTAAAGATGAGGCTCTAACTCGTTGCCAATGGAACCTAAAACCAAATTTACCCAACACTTAAAAGGGCGGTAGTGCCAATGGTTTTAGCGAATGATAACTTCGAAGAGCGTTTCTGTACGCTCCCATTTAAAAAAAAAACATTCAAATTACACATTTCCCAATTTCGAGTGTTTTGAGAATAACCATGCGGTATTCGATGTATCACGTTAGAATAATTGAGGCAGAAGCGAGAGATCTTGCGATGTCATGAATCCCGAACTTGAAATAAGTAAATAACTCAGTCAAATAAAACTCAGAATTAAATCGGAACATCTATAGGTAGCAAAGCAAATGCAGCTCACGTTAGCTCAGCACCTATTGCTGGGCTATTTAGTCAAGCAGATAAGCCTGCCGCTACACCCGCAGATTTGTTTTAGAGAACATTTTCGAATAAAAAACTAAGGAATGGACCGATACTGGGTGTTTACCACATGAACATTCGCTTAAGCCAGTCGCTCTGCGTTTGACGATAAACAGAGGCTTTTGAGCAAGTAGAATTCCAAAAATGACAAATTCAAAAGAAAAGCCATTTCCAGGAAAGAAAAGATACGATGACACTTTAGGAAAGCGGGTTCGAAAGTTTATAGGCCTGTCAAAAGCGAACTTCCATTTGCGTACCCATAAAACTGAGGTACTACAAATCTGGACATTCAAACTTGCAAAAGAACGAAATCATACGGAAAATTTAAAAATTTCAAAACACCGTAGCCATTCAGATAAATAATCATCGCCAAGTAATAAAAACTACAGAAAAATGTTCTCATGAGCCGACGAAGGTGAGTTCGCAACCTCGTCTCACAATCCCAGGAAAGGAGAAGCCAAAAGATTGCAATGCGGATCAAATGGGAAGCGAGACAAACTTACGTTCTCACGACATCCAACATGTGCTCTGGCAGCTCAAGACACCGAGGATGACCTTGTCTGGTGCACTGAGAACAACGCAATGAAACGGCGGCTGGTCGGCCACAGACTGTACAGAGGGGACCCTTCTCCTCCACTTCGACCTCTTCTTCCTGTTGATCAACCTTCGTACCGACAGCCTCACCTTCATCCTCCCGTTTTGTTTTCTTAACCGATGGTTCCACACTGTCTTTAGACGCAATACACTCGGGATTGGCGTCGGACTCTGGTTTGGTGGTTGAACTATTGTTGCAACATGATAAAAAGAACACTTTGGAGACACTTTAACGCCTGAAAGCTTGAATGAATTATAATCAATAATGTAAGCTTCGAATGCAACGGAGATTTTGTGGAACTTCAATTCTGAACCTGAATTGTCTGATACTGCAAAAAAACGATCAATTGTCCAGAATCGCCTAATAGAAACATGCATTTCCGATAAGCGAGACACACCTGACTCAAGTTTTGATTAGTCAACTTAATCCAAAATTGGAAGGCATTCAATAACGGCAAATGGATAATTTCACCCACGAGGATCACGTCACGAAAAAAAACATTGGATGAAAGATGCACTTGAAAGTGAGCAAAACCCAATTCCATGCCTGTATTCATAAAGAAGTCAATGTTCTGTTGAACCAAACATTTAGATGTGGCGAAATTGGTGTTACGCCTAGTGACAGCTACAGCTCATTACAAATCCAATGGGGGAACATAGGATACAGGAGACAACAGTGAATTTTGAGGAGTGCAGAAGGCAAACCAAAGATAGTGGTCCAACTTTTACATCAGCACAAAGAAGATAATCAAGTACGAATTCCAACATCTAAACCTCGAAGCGAGAAGTCGTATCCAAGCAGGAAAATACCTGTGACAGTAATGATCCTCAAGTTTTATCATGAATCGCCAATTAAGTAAACAGTAATAATAAAGGAAACGTCATAATAGGTAATGTAACAGTTCACGAAAAGCTCAGACTACAATGCTGATCCAGAAGCAAACACGGACCGTGTTCAAACATCCTGCGTCTCTGCAAGCAAGGGGAAGTCTATCCACAAGCAAGCCAATTTTCAAACCCACGTCTACCCCACCTATTAAAAGTAGGGCTACAGTATGGCGAACCGTTTAGACTAAAAATGACTTAAGATAAGAGTAAATAAAAGAATTATACCAAAGTACAGCAAAATTATGGATCGAGATTTTCATAATTGCCATGGATACCGTAAAGACGACACATGCTCAGTATCAAAAAACAAGCATCCCAATGAACGAATGAATTTACAGAATGCTGTGATGCACCCACCCAAGGGAGGAAACAGTGAACAGCGAAACCTCTTAATGACTGCAGATGAATAGATTTCAAACAGAGCGCATAACACACAAACGCACCTATTATTCAATTGACTTGTTTCCTGTGGTATTTGTCCATTACTCTCATCCCCACTGTCTTGGGTACGCGGGACACCGCTTAGATTGCCGTATCGAAGCATCGTAGGAAGCGGTGGTGGCTGCCTAAGCGCACGCTTACTTTGTAGATGTGGTGGTAGAGTATACAGTGCCTTTGAGAGCGGCATGTATGCCAGTTCGGATGCAGAGAAGTCGACAAAGTGCTCAGTGAACTGTCCTGGAATCACGGCTACAGGGTAGAAGCCGTTCTTACGAGGTGGCGGTTCCAGTAGACGATAAGGCCACTGAGGAACATGAATCTGCATCGTTTGGAGATCCCAATAGCACCGGCGCTCCTTATGACGTTCAGCAACTAGTTGTCTATTGAAATCGGAAGCTGACTCTAAAGCTCGTTTTCGAGCCAATTCGGCACGCGCTTCCCCCCGACCAATTCGAGCGGCCTCGTATTGGCGTTTTTGATGATCAGCAAGGCGCTGAAATCGGCGCTGCCGGAAGAGGTCGCTAACTGCAACGTGAACATCGGGAAAATCGTTTCGGAGGAGAGACATTACTTCGTCGCTAAGGAGAGCTGTGAGTCCAAGCTCTGCGCGACCCGAAGGAACAAGACCAGCCTCTTGAAGCCATGTGCGTTCGTAGGCATCGCAAATACGACGCTGAAGCTCAGGATATCGTCGCTTGAATGACTTAACCTGTAGAAGCGAACAGCAGCTTTTGCATACAGATTGAAAGTCAGAAAATGGAAAGAAGCTTGCAAACCTTCAAGAAGTCGGCTAGCAACTCTTGGATTACATAATAGGTTGGTCCATTTTTGGTTTCCGGCGGTACTTCTTCAGGCCAGGCATACTCGAAAAGCTGCTCAAGCGTTATATCTTCAGACACATCAGCAAAAGCACTAACCCGAGATAGCATAGTCTCAGGTTTGATGCGAGAATCCCGCCTATAACCTGACAGACTTTGCGAACCCAAAGATGTCCCCTGTTTTATGAAGTACTTATCCAACAAATAGAAGCTTACTGGGAGTGACAGTTCGGAATCAGCATCATTTTTCCTGCTTGACGGTGTGAGAGGAAGTCCATCTAAACTATCCTCCAGGCTAAACACTGTCTCTTCATCAAGGAGGTCTTTGGGAGGAGCGTGAAAACCGTCTAACACAGGCTTAGTCATTACCAAATGTCTCAGAAGACAACTAGCAAATCTACGTGATACAAACCACCATTGAGTAACGCGCCCAATTTATCGTTTCAAACACGTAAAGTAAAACTAATATTTTTGCGTACCTTTAATAAATATGCGTAAAACCCATGGACTCCATTAAAAGGCAGAATGATGAAGCATGTATTCTAAATCATAAAAACTTTTACCTTGATTAGGGATTTTTTAAAGAAGTCCGTCTATACAAACAAAATTAAGGCGAAGCCATATCATTCGCATGTATTCATGAGCTTCAGTGATTTTTTTCAAAGAGCATTCTGTGATTTATCAGCTTTGAGGAAAAACAACATTTTTATAATTCGTTTGTTTCAACAATATTGAAGTAGTGTTGCTCAAACTTAATTTCTGTTGCGATTTTGTATTCGTGGATGAGCTTTCCTGTTTTAGCGCGGGTTTCAAGGCTTTAATATCTTTTCTGGTCTAGTCTTTGGGTCTGAAATTGCGAATAAAGTGTCTCTGAGGCATCGCATTTCTTCAAGGTCTATCAAAATCGAGGTGGAAGAGCGTGGCAAAGACTGCGCAGATGACGTCCCCACTTGAACCTCTCCTTCCTTAGGATGGCATGAATTTTGATGGTTGTCTCAGACCTGCGTTTCAACCTTTGTGTGCATTTCCATTTTGTGCCATCCCTCACCAATTGTCCCTGGTAGATATGGATGCTGAGGTCTCCTACATTGACCATTTGTACGAGGTTTTTGCACCGCTGATTATTCTCTAACATAAAGTTCCTCACCCAGGAATTTTTTAAGGGCGCTAGAAACCTGATGAGAACATTGAAGAGTGCTTTAGAAGCTTTCAACATCAAGCTAAACGTTTCTTTAGTGGCTTATCTGTCAACATTGTGTCTGCTTGAATCGCGGTTCCGTTAAAATCAAAGCTGAAAAGGACCACAAGTTTGATGGAGTCTTTTCATTCTCAGTTGCCCCTCCATGCTACTATTTAAATTTAGTAAACCGTACTTTTTTGCCTACTTCAATATGCTTCTAAGTTCATGTGAGCTCTTGATACGATAAAGATACTGCATGCTGCTTTCTCCTTTAATCGGTTACGACTAGCTCATTACCAAATTCGCAAGCCTCTCCCACCATTTAAGATAAGATTTGGTTCTCCCACATGCCTACGAGATTACGCTTTACAATGGGAAAGAAACTATTGCTAATGTGGTTTATAACATGTTCAGAGCTAGCTTGGGAGGTGATATAAGGTGCTACCTTCCCAAACAGGACCAAAACAGTCACAGATTTGACGGAAGATTCGTTATCCACCCAACAATGCTATGTCTGTCGTTGAAGGTCGTGCGAAACATGCGCGAATCTCGCTGTTACCAACCAGCCAGGTGATGCTCTGCAGATTTCCCAATTTGACAACCTGCTATATCCACCATACAAACCTACCGAAAAACGACAAGAATCCTGAGTGGCAGAACGAGCAAAAATCGTCCAAACAACTAAAGCGATTACTCTTTTTTTACAAGTTCGAACCTTACGGGACTTTAAACTTACGGCTCCACCTTTTATACTAGATACAAGTGATGTGGCTGTAGGCGACATATTCTTACAAAAGAAAAGGCATTGTCATCGCCAATATCAGCTCCAGGCTAAAAAATAATGCAACAAAGATGTTCAGTTGGACATGAAAAAATGAAATAATGAAGAACGCGCATGGTAACGTGGATGCGCTGTTTTGCGGATTCACCTCCGAGGCTTGGGTGACGTTATGGTGGGTACACTATTTTTGAGCGACTTCACTAAGCACCATTATAGTAGTATACGGAGTATTGTCATTAATGCAACTCCAATAAGAGGTTTATAACACTCTCTTGTAAGTCAATATCGGAACAGATGAACTTTTTAGCAAAGCAGCTGAGCTGGACATGGAAAAGTGGCCTAGACACATTCCGAGAAATAAAGTTTTGTAGTGTCAAGATGCTGTCTCAAGTGCCTAATAATTCCGAGGTCTCAATTACAAATGGTCCGCCAAGGACTGCAGGAGGGTGGGTGAAAAGACGATAAAAGCGTTGGGGGAGAGGTTGGTGGCTCTCAGTGAGTCCCAACTTTTCGACTTCTGTCGTACTTGCATCGTTTCAACTAGCGTCGAAGGCCGCCACTTCAGAATCGGTATTTTTAGATGGAGGGAACATAGACACCATGAGCCTACTTCCCACAACCAATGTAGTCGAGATAGCATCCCTGAAGGCACAATTTTCTTCAGCCGTTGGATATGTCAAAATGGGTTGTCTGACTCCGTCTCGTAAGCGCTAGTGACAATTTTGATTGCGTTCTCATTTGCCTAATCTCCATTTCATCGGCGGTTGTGGAACAACAATACAACGAATTAAAATGGAAGAAAATAGGGAAGTAGAAGTGGTCATGTGCATCGTGGTTGCTAATCAAAATGTGAACAAACTAAATTGCAGATGGCTTAACAATTAGTTGGTAGTTTGGCGATGCGGTTAACTTTAGTGTTCTGTGAAACTGCCCGCAGACGTGCTAAGGGGTTTGGTATTTAGGACATGTGAAATGGTTAAAACCTTCCAGGGTCGTGGATAGAATTCACACTGCCCATGCCAACAATGGAAGCAAGTATTCCACAGTACTCATTAAATAGACAAGCGAGAACAGTAGCGAGCAAATGAGAATTACGTTTGGGAGTGACATTTCTTCACCACACGCTTGATTTACGCAGTCCAACGCCCCAACGCGAACAAACTTGAACCTAATATGCCGAAATTTAAAATTATGGCAAGATCATCTTCCTTCTATTGCTCCATTCTGCTTCTGGTTCCCCTTTGGAATTCCAACTTTCTTTGGCGTAATGTCTGTGTGGAAATACGAAATAAGGACTGATGGCGCCTGTTTTGTAGATTTGGAGAGCGGTTTGTCAGTAAAAGAGGCTACAATTTACCACTGAAGTTCCCGCGAGCCCGCGCACCTTAGCCAGCTGAGCTGAACGCAAAAACGGTAAAAAACCCTTCAGACCTCCCAAAGGCAATTTGAGCAGAGCGCAAATCAGCACTGCTTCATTCTTTGCTGGTGTAAAGAATTTCCTTTCTGCGGAGAAGTGATACAATTGTTTCGGTACATTAGACTTTAAATCAGTGGAAAACGAAAATGTGGAAATGTTGAGAGCAGTCTCTGATGACGTAAACGAAAGCATAGAAGTTGCGAATCTTTTGCAAAAAGGATTCTTCGTGATGCAGTGCTGCACGCTGGGAGATATTCAAACCTACAATTCGTGAAGTAATGCAAAAGTGATATTTTATGAGTTCTGGAAATTGGATTGCAGAAATCTCACCATAAATAAGCATTTTACTTTAAGAAATTTTGAGTCATGCAAATGGAATGAAAGGGCTGCCGGTCTAGGCAACCTTTTCTTCCTACCACTGGTGGAGCTGCCTGTTGCCAATCCTAAAAGTGTGTCAATATTTGGAAGAATGGAAGAGTCTAGGATTATGAGACAGGACAAGTTTTGGTAAAACTTAAATTCCATTTAGGTATAAGCTGCAACGAATCACGCCATTCCTGAAGGCTCTACGGGATGTGACACCATGAAGGAGGAGGCGTTAGAACAAAAGTGGAGAAGCTGTGCATAAGAGACAGTTATTCAAAAGGCAGAGGTTGTAATGTTTACTTCTAAGTTGAAGTCAAAGATTGCGCTGCGAAAATCGTAGCCGCCCACGGTGCCTTGCGGTTATTTTCATTCTTCACAGTTACGTTGAATTTCAACGCAGTGGGCGGCTTGAAGGTCAAGCGATGCACTGTGGGAATGGCATGAAATGCACGATTCCAAGTGAATACTTGCAACTAAAGACTCGTTCTCAGTTCCCTTAGCCATGCATAGTCTCATGCTTTGCATGGGATTTACTGGTTTGGAGCAGTTTGCTGTAAGCATATGCCTTGCAAATGGGACATCGGGACTGCCAGTCGCTATTCCTCGGACAATTTTGACTGTTGACTGAATCGTCTAGAAAATTGAAGCATCGAGCATAGTTTAATAGTGGTAATAACTTGCATGCACTTCCAATCACTCCTTCATTATTTTAAACAAAAATACAAAGTGAAAGAGTTTCCAAAACAAGCAAGTATTTGCTACAAAGGAGGAGGTTGCCCAAATGGCCACGATGAGGTAAAAACCGACGCTGCTCCATTGTTTATCCGACGACATTTTATGCAAATCTACCTATCGATTTCGAGACCGATCAACTTCCTTCTTCCTTTAGAGCGTTGAGGAAATAGATGATGTCACAACTGTACATCCATCAGGTGCTGCTAGTGTGCGATGACAAGCCTCGGATCACGCCTGGGACTGATGCCGTGACGTTATTGTGCCAGACTTTTATGCCTCCTAGCTCTGAATCATGTGCTTTTGATAAAACGGAACTTTCGACACCAAAGCAATAAATGACGGCTTAAGAGGTTATTTGAGACTGCAATTACGACAGGCAATCGGAGTACAGGCATGGATTTGGAGGAATTTGACACTACTGTGTTGATGCAAGGTGAGAAGGCTTGGGCATCAGACGCTTTCTCGTGCTCCTCTCACACCTACGCCGCCTCACCTCTGCTAAACATGCATGATGGGAAGGGGTTTTGTCATTTTCTTGCTGATAATCTTAGCAAATAAAGCTATGCGAATCACAGATAATCTCATAACATTTCATAAAGTCGGAAGACCTTTTGAAACTGTCGCCTCACTTGCTATTGACAGTCGTCAAGGTAAAAGAACGTGGTTATTAGTGAGAAAAAAGATGTGCTTCCCCATTCCCCTCTCCTCACCATCAATGATGCTGATGAACATTAAGAACTTGACTGGGTAAGGTGCCGAGAATGCGTCAACGAAAATTATGCATCAACTCTACTATCAGTGCTAACTACGCCAACCGCCTACCAAACTTCAGTGTCTCGAAATTCGCTAACTATCCAAGTATAAAAACACAAAACAGACATGCTTCGCATTTCCATGTTTTCGTCAACCGAAGGTTCCACGCCTTTTGTAGGCAATAAATGAGATGTTTGGTTTGCAACCCTCACAGTTGTTACTGTTGCCGAGTGGACATCCAGAGCGCACGCCATCCGTGGCATCACGTTTGAACGCGTGCATTCGCTTGTGACTAATTTTGCGAGGACACCTTAACCCCGTCAATCACAGACTGAGCCAATTTGCACTTTTGCCTCACCTTCTGCCAATCAAACGTGTATTCGCACCTTAATTTGGCTCTTTGCTGAAATTGCATCAAGAATTTCATTCTTTGCAATAAGATTATCTGCACCACTGAGAAAAACTTTTACCCCACTTTGTTCAAAGTTTCCTTAGATTACCAAAATTTATAGGCCATTGTATTTCATCCCTCATCTCTCTTCCTGACTTTTTTGTTACTATTTAGGATGACGTGTATGAACTCCTTCATCATTGCCCAAATTCCAAAGGTCGAGCCTGCAGGCGTGGACGCAGAAGTATGTTCAAGGTGTGAATTTTGAGGTGCTACATTGGGGAGCCTACGGAACTTGTAAGGGCAGAGTCAACTTTACAAAATTGATACCTCTCCCATGTTATAGCTTCTTCTTAACAGCAAAATGAATCCAATGGATGAAGTAAATTGTTAATGGGGACGAGAGAACGGTTTAATGGCAAAAATGCCAGTGAGTACTTGACGATACGTATCAGGGAGACATCGGAAGAAAATATGTGGAGGAGAGATAAAATGAGAGCACTTTTTTACCAATCGCAGCTGAATGCACCAACGAGGTTAGCAGTAAGCATAAAACCTCTGACTCCAAGTTATGGACTTCTCGGCCAGCAAACATCAGTGAGACGCAGATTTTAAACGTCCTATAAACTTCAAACTGCACATTTTTGGCAGCAATATCCGCATTTATGCGAACCAGGTTTGATGTTGGACAGTCATATTGAGCTGCACAACCATTAGTCAGGGAGTTCAACTTCCACCCAAGTTGCTGTCTCATTTGTTTGAAGTTGCTAGGCCGACTCAGTGTGGCACCATTCAGCTTCTCATGCGGACCAGGATCTCGAAAGTGTAAGCGATACCATGGTGGCTATTTCAAGCAATTAGTCACAAATATGTTTTCCGGTTGATTACTTGAAGTTCTGCCACCTGGACACCAAGTATGGAGCAGCTGAAAGCAAGCATGTGTAACTAAGCCTGTTGAAATGCTACCACATTTAGTGGTCGCGAATAAAATCGTCACAATTGTTTTCTGGCCTGTCAGCATAACCGATTTCCTTTGTGAAAAATCAGCAGACTCTGGGATGATTAAAAAGAGGAAGAAGGCATTTGGTCTACCATCGTTAAGGGGCTTGACAGTTAAGCGCCAAACATGGAAGTATGAACACCGCCGATTGCGAGGTGAGGGAATTAAAGGCTCACCATGGAACTCGCCGCAAAGTAGGTAAGCAATGCCTTCACAACACAGATGATGACGTAATTTTTATGCGAGACGTTGTGCGGTGGCATTGGCATTCCTTTCTAACAGATGAAAATTACAATCCGAGGCTGATGTTTGTTCTTATCAAAATGGCTCCGCTTCCATCCCCACCGCTGCTTGGCCTCGCATTATGTTTTGCTCCACATCGGACAAGTTGAGCTGCAACGACCCAAGAGAAGACTCAGAACGCCGAGATTTAGCATTATTATTAGCAACGAGTTATTCAAATAATGGAAGAAAGTGTAAATTTTGATGGAAACAAATGCAAATATAGGCCGAATTCAAGCAAAGAGGCTGAAACTTCCAAATTTTTTTACTGGCACTGCAATAACTTGAGCCACTGGGCACTGGAGGAGATAATTCATTGCCCAAATATATGCAGTTGGATGGGAAGGAAGAGAATGGAGCTTTTGACGTGGCCAAAGAGCTGCCTAATACGAACAATGTAATCGCAACTCACATCAGTATTCACAGTACCAAAATTACAATAATAATTATTGCAATTATAATAGCAACAGGAAATGCAAAGCATGACTGACACTTTCTGAGCTAGGCTACTAGTTACGCCTTTAAGGCCGTCTCATCTCTAAACGGTTAATGGCACTTGGTTGAGTGTGTCTAGAGTAGCTTCCCCCTAATTCCGGTGGACGCCGGAGTTTGATAGCTTGGAGAAATGACAGGTGTGAGAGATAACCCAGTCACCATTAGGAAAGCACTTGGTCCGAAGTAATCCAATGCATCTTGGCTGCAAAATGCAAAAATTCCTAAGCAGCACTTGCAATGACAATGTTGGGGTAAAAAGTGATTGTGAAGCGATATTTTGTTGAAGTGTACATTATGTATAAAGCACATATTTCCACCTGATCAGCCGACCACGATGACAGTCGGCGGTGTCATTTTGGTTGCCAATTGACTTTGACACACACACATACACACACGCGAACGCACCCTCCCGATGATGAAAAACACTATTCCCTTGCTACCCTTCAAGCTAAAAAAGCGCTCCAACGAGCAATCCTCCTACAATTTTCACAAACGGTAAATCCGTTTGTTTCGAAGCTATTTTTTGTGCTTAAAGTTTAAGGTTTTTGATAAGAATGAAATTGTAAGGCAAAACTAGGAGAAAAGTTGTACGGTTATTGAATGCCCAAAGCAGTTCGATTGAGTTAACCAAGATGCGGGGTGTAAATAGTGTCCCACAGTTTTTGTGTCTCCAAGTAGTTAATTAGTGCCTGGAAGTGTGTGTGTGTGTGCACTGACAATAGCGATTGAAGGCATCCCTAAATTCTACCTCAAATCTTTCTACTCACATGGAACGAGCATTAAGGAGGAGGTCGGAGTATTCGTTAGGTACTAACCTTCGTTGATGTTTCGTCCAAAGGCATTTAGAAGTGTTTATCAAAGCGCTTCTAAAAGGAATCGATGGTCAAATGCTGTTTGTTGTGCGGACAAGATTAGTAAATATCAACTTTTTTACACATGCTACTTAGTTTTATTTTTTGAAATGATGGAATGACTGGAAGACTGTCGTTCTGCCTTCTCACGGAGTGGTAATAGCCTTCGGCACAGGTGTGTTGGACATCTGATTTGCGCTAGCTCATGGAGCAGGCGTAGATACCGTTCAGAAATGGTTCTCGATACCTCCCATATTGATGGTTCCACGTATATGAGGGGGTAAATTTAGCTTTGACATGTTCGGAGAAGAGAAAGGAAACAGCGGAAATATCTTGTAAACCGGACACAGTTACCTGACATTATCTTCTGTCCCTTAATAACGGAGGAATCAGACACGTAGATATGGTGCCACACCTCTTCAGTCCTATTCTTGCCGACGATTGAGGCTTGGCAACACATTGGAACACTGCAGCAGCTTCTGCACATTACAACTCTGCGCTACAAAAGACGTCTCTTAAATCACAGTAGACACACACTTTCACGATTGTCTCACAGTTTGCAGACTATATGAAGCCATTTGTAGTGCTTCATTTGTTGATTTACTATGCAGGCTCTTGGATGTCCTTGGTCCTTGACCTCCATCCACCTTGGTCTTCACACTTTCTCCATTTCCCCTGCATTCATAGAGGTAGACTTACTGATACCTTTTCTGCCATACTAGAGGTGGTGATAAGTGGGTCCGACCAAAAAAATTGCACATAATTTTAAACCTCAAAGGTGGGTGTGCACAATGAATGCGTGTGGCATAACTGAAGGGCTATCAAAGTCAAACTCCGTCTCGATGACCAAAACAAGATCGGGTTCTGCAAACGACCAACTACTATGCAGTAAACATCAGACTTTGAAAATATGAAAAAAGCTGCTTCTTTGTTTGCTTGAACTGCCCAGATCTTTCAAGCTAATCACCGATATGTTGCGAACATACAGCAGATAAGTGGCCCTAAGTAAGGTTTGGTGGAATGGAAAGGTAAAGTGTCATTGCTCTCATTGGTAATGCCTTTGGCATTCCTCAGCGAGTGATTTTCCACTCTCATTCACTGCCTACTTAATAATCTAGCAAATATCAAATGAGATGAATATTTGCCTTGGAAAAGTGATGGTGGAGGACCACAAGTACGAAAATTGATCCAAAAGTACGACGACCACGAGAATCACGAGGAATAAAGTAGAGATGATGGGAGCATATATAAAGCGGCGCACTTCCTCACGTAAGATAGCACCACTCAGACAAGGTGGACTAATAAAATGGAAGTGGTAAAGTGCTCATGCTCGCACTTGTTAAACCCAGATCCAACCACTGAAATGCTACTCTCACCACAACCTGCAAAGAAGTGTACATGCACTGCTTTGTTGAAAACAGAGCCCACGGATGAAGGATTACTACCCCCACAGCATGTAAAAACGTGTACCTGCTGTACATTGTTAAAGCCGGAACCATCGACTGAAATTTTAGTTTCTTCACAACCTGTAAAGACATGTTCGTGCTCCTCTGTGCTGAAGACGGAACCCACGACTGAGGTCTTCCTCCCTCCACCACCCCTGAATACGTGTACCTGCCGCACAGCATTGAAAACGGAACCCACGACTGAGGTCTTCCTCTCTCCACCACCCCTGAATACGTGTACCTGCCGCACAGCATTGAAAACGGAACCCACGACTGAAGTTTTGCTCTCGCCACAATCCGTGAAGGCGTGTTCATGCTCGACAGTATTAAAGACGGAACCCTCGACTGAAATGTTACTTACACCCCAACCTGTGAAGAAGTGTGCATGCTCGAGTGAGCTTGTACTTTCCCCAAAGCCATTGAAGAACCTTCCAAATTCCATCGATGAAGAAGAGCTCATAGACGGCCTTCAAGCCCTTCTCAAAGTTATTCTTTCATTAAAGTAACCAGTAATGCTGTTTGTGCTGCTTGCCCCTGAAAACTAAAAATAAATGATAAGAAAGAAAAATCTTATGACATCTGAATGGTAATAGTTTGCAGGAGAAGTGTACCAGAGGACTTCGGCAGCGACCTTTAAATGCTGTAAACTTTAGTGTTTGACCTTAGATTCACTCAATGACTACACAATGGCAACTGGCATATTGCGTGTTACCTTTGAACTTCACCGAGGGGATGAGGACACGAGGGTAAGATGTGTATCATTGCGTAGAAAGAGGGCGTGCTCTCTGTAAGCCCTCAGTCAACACAAAATGGCGATTGTGAAGGACGCCAAAAGCGATGCTAATAAAAGGGGTGGCCACACAGACGGTAGTCGATAGTGAAAATGAGGCGTTTCATTGAACCCCCAAAGCTCTTCAAGCTCCGTCTGAATAAAGAGAAGGAATGAGACACAAAGCATAAAGATGAGAAAGTCTTGTAGTTGAGCAGGAGTGACCATTTAAATGTTGCTTGCTAGTTTTATGCTAACGTACATAGTAAGTTAGGAAACTGAATCCGAATTGGACATTTCCGGTTAAAAGGCAGCATTAGCCTTGGATGTTGGGTAAGTCAAAAAGGTAAACAATTTTCAGACGTAACTGAATGATCATTCAAGTACAAGTGACGTGGAGAGGATTGGTTACGCAGGACCATTCGAAAGTAACTTCACTCCAAAATCGACATCGATGGAGGATAACTTTATTGTGCGTCTGCGTTATGCTGGATGAGGTAATGAGGACCAATTCTGTTCAACGTCCAACTTGCTACCTGAATGGAAGTGAATAAAATGTAATTTAGGGCTAATCAATCCACATAATTGCTAGATCAAACATTTGCAGAAACCAGCCAGCAAGTTCATGAAATTTGGCGTGCTGTAGCAGCAGCGGACAAGCTTACTGCCAAACAAAAAGCCAAAAATGTTTCAAATGGAACAAATACACACAACAGCACTCAAATGCGCTCGTTTCGTCAAACTAATGAGGAAATGTCGACTTTCATTGGGAAATTAAAGGGAGGAGACGAGTTGAAAATTGCAGTCGAGGTGCACTAAACGGTCGGCAAAATGGATGAAGGCAAATGGAGAAATGGAATCTGCGCACTGTGTGAGGCTGAACAAAAAAAAATCGTTTGTGCAAATAAAAGGATGATCAGAATTCACCTTTCGTTTTTATTTTACCAACTACAACATGAGTTGTTAACCTCTAGCTAACAATTATCTTGCTGCACCAACTCATTTTGCTAACACACACCTCATTCGCACACCACCATCACTGTGTGTGGTAGACCGAATCGTGCAATGCTTCATCATCAACAGCCTCTGCCAGTGCTGATGCTTTCCCACTCATCTCCAACCCCACCTGCCTCGCCGCCTAA